GCAAAAATGCAATTAAAAAATTTCCACTTTGTCGCTGGCAGAGAAACGGAGAAGGAGCTCTTTTTTCTTTTATTTTCCCCCTGGGCGAGTGTGAGTTGGCCTTTTCCGATTTGTTTTGCGTAAGTTTGACAGCAGAAACAGCAGCCTCCCATTTTCCCCCCCTCTTTTTCACGACCAACTGTAGCTAAAGCTACAAAGAAAATTCTTTCATTTAATAAAATGCGTGCCAAGTTGACAATTTTCACTGGGCTGTCACTTGAGCATAAGGGATAAGCCGAAAGTTTTGCAAGTTTTTGATTTCGCCAAAGCCACGCCCCCCGCCTTCGTTGTCAATCAGGATGGTGGGGGATGGAGAGGGGACGGGGTGTGGTAGCAATTTGTCCAAGCCAAAGATCCAGGTGTTTGAGCCTTCTTCGGCCCGCGGCAAAGTTTTTCATTCAAAGGTGTTGTAAGGTGCTAAAAACTTGAGCGTCTCGTTTTTTTACTCTGCCGTCTTGGAGTTGGCATGATAATTCACTGAGCGAGGGATGGATTATGGTGCGGATTTTGACTTAAATAATGCAAAAATGCAGAGTTTTATAAGTACAATTTTTAAACAAAGATTCGTTTAAGATTCTTCAATAACTATAATTTTTAACATTGAATAAAAGCCATAATTCAGGGGATTTCTGTTTTATTTGTGTTGTTGTCAGAATACAATTTTCAAAAAGATTTTCTCAGAATAAGCTTATCAGAAACTGGAGAAAAGAAAACCTTGATTTTCTATATTAGCAATTCCGATTTTATTCACTATGATTTAAGACATGAGATTTTCCTTAGATTTATAGGGATCGTGATAATTGGTCCAATAAGAGGATTTTCTCGGGCATCGTCTTTCTTTATTATTTTTATTCCTATTGCTATTCGTTCTTAATGTTTATTAATTGAGCTCAAATGTGCTAATTTATTTTCTAAACCAATTCATTTAAATTTCATAGCCGAGAAATCATTTAATGTTTGATCAATGTTTTCGACCTAATTTATGGCTTTCACTTTACGATACAAAAGTAATTAATAAGGCTATCGAGCTCTAATTTATATACTATTTTTTGTAGGCCTTCAAAATCGTTGACTTTTGAAATACTTAAGCTAAACGGAGATCTATTTTGAATATTGTTAATTTTTTTCAGAGCTTCAATACAACCTTTCGCTATAGTGTTTCGTATTTTTCCCATAGAGCCCACGCATTATCATTCTGGTGTCCATCCCTAGTGGTTCCATTTTGCAGATGCGTGTAAACAAATAATCTAGCTCCCAGGCAGCGAGTAGCGCCCAAGTTCAAACGAAGCCAAAGCCACCGAAAACATGTAAAAAACGAAAAGCCGGACCACACACGCCAGTTCCTCGAGAAGGAGGAGCAACAACAAAAACTCGGCCAGGTCCGCTCCTTCTGCCCCTCCTGTCCCCCCTCTTCTCCACCGCCTGCTCCTTGGCCTGGCCGTATTGATTATTGTGATCTGCCGTGTGCTCCGCTCTGGGGGTAATTATGCAGCCAGGGGACTCTTTGCGGGAGTAGGGTTTTCGACATGTCGGGAAACGGCGGGGATCGGGAAACGGGGGCTCGCCTGTCATTTATTTTAAACGATTCCTTTACACATGTCGGAGGCTTTCGCCGCCAACGTTGCCGCATTTATTGTTGCCGTTTCAGAGCCCCTCCCCCTCCCCCTCCTCCTGCTACCCTCATCTTCAGTTTTCAGCTATATAGCTACCGCTTTGGCTATACGTTGGCATGCCAATCATTTTGCGTTGATGAAGTGCGAGTGTGAGGCAAAAATGTTGTTCCAATAAGTTCAGTCAATGGTGCTGAATGCCAGAATGCCAAAATGCCAGGATGTTCGGCAGTCCGTCAGTTTGTCAGTTTGTCAGTTTGTCAGTTCCCAGTTCCTCTCAGTTGCCAAGCTTTCCCAGTTTGGCAGTCGCAAATCGCTGATCGATTGTCGGGAGCGGCGTGTTGACTCTATCGTTACACAAATGGAGCAGCTGAAGTATTGTGTCAACAGCAAAATGCACTCAATTTGATTCACGCGGCATTTACTGGTATGTCAGCAATTTAAAGGAAATCAATCAAATATTTTTCGGTATTTTTTGGCTGGACAAAAATAGTTAAAAGGACATAAAAGATTCAATTTTATGATTGTGTATTTCAATTAAAAGGGCTTAATTGAATAAATATTTAAAATATATGTGGATTACAAATTTTAGGTTAGCCAGTGCATTGCAAGAAACGTTTTGTTTTATTTACTTAAAAATAAATTGAAATGTTATATTTCAGTAAATGGTTTTTATAATGTATATTAAATTCGCTACCAAAAATCTTTAAGGCTCCTGCTAACTTATCGTTCGATCGTCTTGGAACAGGGGCATATTCAACTCGGCAGCTAAGTGACTTGTTCCACCTCCTCGCCAATAATTAATTTGTTGAAAATGCAACGCCGACGCTGGGCCACCATCAGCGTCATGGAATTGGAATGGTTGGGGGAATGGACAGACTACTCCGGACAGAGTCCCTTTGACAGGCGGGCAGCGGCCTGCATTATGCATGAGATTGGAACTCAGGGCGGGGGATGGATGGATGTGGATGTGGATGTGGATGATGGGGAATCGGGGATGCGGATCCTTGAGAAATGCGCTGCAGGGACGCCTTCAAGGTTGGCCGTTGTCAACTCTTGATAGCCTCTGGTCCCTTTGCCCCCCAATCCCCATCCCCTCCTGCTGCAAACTGCCACTGATTAAGTCACTAAAACTGCTGGCTGCTTTTCTAACTAATTTGCTGTTAATTTGTTGCTACGCTACGGCCAGACGCAACTCATTTCCTTCCTGTCACAGTGCAAAAATGTTGTTTTACTTGCCTTTTTTCACTCGCTTTGAGCTGACAGAATTCCGGGAAAACCCCCCCTATTCACACAAACATCAAAACAACACATAACACAGGTGAAGCCAGACAAATCCCTGGGAAGTCAGCGGGGAAAAAGGTAAAGCACAGCAAAAACTAATTTGTTTATATCAGCAAAATGCATAATATTGCCAGCAAAAATTTCATAACAAATTTGAGCTGACGTTAATGAGGTTTCAGTTCCGTCACATCTTAAATTGCAAAACAGGAACTACCAACAAATGTTTTATAAATGAGATACATGTAAAGCGGATGTTGTTTAGGAATTGTTTGTAAAAAACGTCATATATTAATTAGATCATTAATTGTTATTTTAAATATGAACTGAAGCAATTTAAATTGTTTTTTAGATTAAAATAAATACTTTCTTATTCATCAATTCTTTGAAACACCAGATCTGTCGTTCTTGGAAGTTATGCAAATATACTATATAAAATTTATAGATATATTTATATTTATTTATTTTAAGAACAAAGCTAAACTTATAAACCTCTTTCTTCCCTTGAAAAAATCCGGTTAATTAAATGTAATAAATAGTTGTCCTACAAATTCAATTCATTTTAAAGGTTAAATTTAAAAACAAGTAGTTGTTGTTAGGTTTTTTAAAAACTCAATTAAACATCCATCCCTTTTTTACATATCAAGGCTTAAAGGTGAAGGTATTTACCCCACCACCATGTTATTTGGTGATTTAATCCCCCAAATTTGGAGTGGTTCCGCACTAGTCCTTGCTTAGTAACTGATACAGCTGCGACCGGTGGCCCAAAATAGCTTTAATCGCTTGGGGTGCATGTAAATCGCAATCCCAGCTGCACATGCACTCGAATCGGCAAACACTCGGCTGTCAAAGCGTTTACAAGGCATCGCTTCATCGCCCCATCGCATGTTGCATCCACTCCGTCGCCTTCGCCACTCGGATCTAATGTTTATCTTCCGTGTTTCGGCCAGCTCCGATTTCATGTGGGGGCACTTTGCATGCGGATGGCTTTCGGGGGATACCCATACCCCCTTTAGGATTTGAGGGGGAAGGGGAAGGGGCAGAGGGGGTTGTTGCCAAGACGCGGCCGAGTGGCGCTCAATGTTTCCACCGAAAGTCACGTGCGGCACATAAAAAATCAACGCACATCATGTTATTCCACTGATTCTGGGCTCTTGTTCTTCTTCTGTTCTGGTTTTCATTGAAAACGAAATTCAAAAATCAAAAATGTTGGCGCGACAAAAAACAACACAAGCCATCAATGGGGCAGGCCCAAAGCAAAGGCATTAATTAAGGGAGAGCAAAAAGTGTATGCATTGTTTTTCTTATTTTTATACCCGCTACTCGTAGAATAAATGAGGTATTCTGTTTATGGGGATGAGTTTGTGGTGCCTAAAATAAAGTCTTCATTAAATTTTTTGGAATAAACAATTTAAAAAGTAGAAAAATGCAATATGGTATTTTAATAACAACATCAACGTACATATCTTATTTTAAAACACTACTATATAAGCACCAACACTTTTTACCGCGGACAATTTGGTATAAGTTAAGTTTTTATTGACAAAATATATCTTGATATAATACAATTGTTAAAATCTAATAATTTTAAAATAGGTAACCTATTATTACAATATATTTCATATCATATCGAGGTCTGAAACTCACTATAAACTATAAATCGGGAAAAGGTTCGTAGTGTCAAAGACTATCTTCTTATCACAAAGTGGTCCCATATTGCAATAGGTGACCTCATATGGCACTCAACGCCTGCAAGTATGCAATATATTTGGCATTACGACTGTGACTAGCGGGTATCTGAAAGTCGTGGCCCTTGACTTTGCCGTTCTTTCTTGCCTTTTTTTTGGGCTTTCTGTGTGTGTGTGCGTGTGGGGGAGACTTCGGGCCGTCTTCGGGATTTAGTTGGGGCCTTTTTCGTTCCTTGGCATCTGCCGGCGTCGCTGCCTCTGCCGCTGCCGCTGCCTGCGTCGACGTCGCCGTTGGCGGCGCAGTCGCTTCTTGCTCTCGACGCTCGGGCTTTTTGGCTTTCTTTGCGCACGACTCTCGGGCATTTTGCGTTTGCACGTCAAGGCAAACGGACGACGACGAGGAGCGCCGACGGAAACAGCGGCCAAGAAGCAACTTCCGTACCCGGGAAACGTGTCGCGTGTGCTCCGAGTGGAAAATACAGACGGGCTGTGTGTGCCGGTGGTGTACTGAGCAATAGGGAAAACCCGGCAAAAAGCCCGCTAAAAGAATCCCAACTATGCGTGCATCGACCACAAATCAAAATACGAATTTATGAAAAGTGTTTTCTCGCTAAAGTAAGAGTGCTCGTGCGTGGGCCATCGGCTAATTGCTCGTGCTCAGCCACAGGTGGTGTTTCGTCCCCGCCTCTCTGCCACCCACCACCCTCCCTCCCCCATTTCCACGCCCACTGGCCAATTGTTGCGGCACACGCAAATTCGCAGAACTTTAATTAAAAGGGGAGCCCGAGGGAAAGGTCAGCGGGCAGCAGCAATTAGCAAATCTAACAGTTCCGAGAATCGATTCACTGCAGCCCCCAATTAATTGGGCGCCCCCAAAACAGGCAAAGAATCAAAGGGAAGAACGCGTACCGAAGAGAAGAGCCGACGCACAACGTTACTCCCCCTAAAAAAAAAATTGTTTTTTTGTTTTTTGGCCATATTACGGCGGGCCAAAGAAGTTGAAAAAGAATAGTGGGTGGCGGGGGAGTGGGAGTTTTTGGGGAAGAGGGACAAAGACGGCAGGCGACGTGTGTCAAAGGTTTGACAGGCCTTAATTGTGCGGAGGACAGAAAATCAGGAGATGAAACGAGGGGGAAGTTACGACGTTGCGAAGGCTTCGTACTTCGGGATTTTCGGATTTACGGATTAGAACCGAAACGCAGTTTTTTCAGGGGAGGCAGGACATTAAACGTTGGCCGAAGCCATCACATTTTGTATCCCAACGCATTTATAAAGCTTCCTTTATAACACAATTTGCGAAAAGAAACACACAGACAATCTGTTAAAGTAGAGCGCTGATAAAGTATATTAATTTTGAGGAATTTTCTGCAATAAATGAAAGAAAAATAGAGAATGAAATTCAACTAGCCAACTTAATTTGAAACTCGGCATTTCATACTATTACGTTTACCGGCTTAAACAGTTTCTTGTTGTTCTTATTATCACAAGGAATAACTTTAAGAGTTTACTTAATATTATTCTAAAATTAGCTTAATAGTTCACTCACCTCGATTTACTAAGTTAACTGGAGATACTTTTTAAATAGGAAGCAAAGATGAGGCACGTTTTATAAACCAAAATAGTTGTAAAATAATTAGAATGACCCTTGACCTTTAACCATTTAAACTTAATTAAAATAGAGCTATAAATTTTGGGCTGGGACTTAGTTCAAATGCTTATTAATAATAACAAATTGAGTAAATCAATTCTAAACCAATTGGTTTGATATTAAATTTTCCTCCAATTTATGAACATGCGTCAAACAAGAAATAAATCGAATTTGCTGAACGGTGAATGTATTTAATTACAGTAAAAAATTGTATGTTATGGAGATCGAAGTGCCCCAATAAGAAATCAATTATTAATAAAACACTTTCGGGCAATTAAGCCACAGAACACGCACTCAAAGGTTGTGTTACACCCAACAAAAGAACAATATCAGTGAATAGTTAAATAAAAAGTGAACCAAAATCCTGGAAATCATGTTGCCCGGAGTGGAGCTGCTGCTGCTGCTCCTGCTCAGCCCGTCGCTCCTCGCGGAGATCTCCCACTTGCCGCTGGCCAGCAATCGCATCATCCTGGACTCCACGGAGCTGCTGCAGCCGCCTTTGAATCCGGACTCCAATGCTCCAATGCCAGCGGTTAAGGCGACGCCAGTGCCGCCGCAGAAGTGTCCTTCGCTGCAGCGGTACCGCAAGATGCTCAAGGACATCGACGACCTGGAGGACCTCTACGTGGACGTGCCCGTGCACATCGCATTGGCGGAGCGGCAGAGGAAGCGGTGAGTAGCAGCGGTGTTGGGATGACACGGGCAATGGGGGCAATACGGCTAAGTGCGATGGCGACGCCGCCTGCCACACAAATCAAATTACGGCCAAACAAATGCGAAAGATGGCCAGAGCCAAACTTAGGGGCGCCTCGCCACGAAGAAGCCGGCAGGAGCAGCAAAAAAAAAATAATTTATAACCACGACGTGTGGCTGGCCAAACAAAAAACCATCCACAGCCAGATTTTTTATAGTTCTCCCTCAATGTGTGTGTGTGTTTGTGAGTGTGCATGTGTGTGTGTTTCGGTGCTCTTCTTCTTTTTTGTCTAGTGTGCGAGCTTTTGTTGCCCTCACAGCTGCCGCCACACACCGCACACTGGCTTCAGACTCAGATTCTGAATTAAAACCTCTTAAATTGCGGAAAATGTTATACTTCAAGCTATCAGTTTTTTGGGGGAGAAAAAAAACTCAATTTTATCGTGCCTAATTCAATTTTGGAACTTTTGGACAACATTTGATGGGTAAAACCATTAGCTTCTTGGAATCGAAATCTACTACATTACGTTATATAAGTACATTAGGAGACAATTTTGGATAAATCAATAGAAATTATAATTTCAACAAAAGACAAACACTTTCAGATATCTTAGTTCTTTAAAATTTCTAGGTTTAAGCAAGAGTTAAAATACCAAACAAAAGAAATATAAATATATTTCTTTAGGAAGTCAAATAAACATCCAAACATTTTAAGAACGCAGTAATATAATAACGATTTCATGAGGTATAGTTCGAATGGCAGATAAGTTTTAATTGTATAATATAATTCTGCTTTAATTTAGTCAGAAAAAGACAACATTATTGGGTTAAGCCACAAATCTCGAAACATTTCAAATCGATTAGTGTAACTTAATGCATTAAGCGGCTGCTTTATTAAAGTAAATAAACCAAATGTCTGCTTTAGAATTATTTACTTTTTGTTGGGAACCCGATTGGTAAAAGTTTCGGTGTCACACCAGTATTGAATTTCCCTTGCCCTTTTAAAGTTTTCCATCAGCAATGGCCGATTCCAGCATTTTCCTGCACCACTGTTCCCGCTGCGTTGCACGTGGCGTATGAGTAACGTTCTTTTTTTACGATTTTCATTGGTTTCCGTTGGGCCGCAGCTTGGGCCTGGGTTAAAAGAGGCCCGTCACGTTTTCGCTTAGGCTCTGGGCTCCGGGATTTCAGTTTTCATCTTCTCCAGTGAACGTGCGAGCGGGCTTTTTTTTTTAGTTGTTCTGGAACAGGGAAACTAGAAGCCCTCGACTCGTATAGCACTTGATCATTTGCCACAGAATGCCAGCAAACATTCAAATTAATGTCGTGGTTTGTCGTCAACTCCTTTTTCGGTTCGCTTTTTCAATGTTTTCTTCGCTTTTTTCCCCCACTATTCCAGTGCATAGTGTGTAGTATTAGGCGACCCGGCGATAGTGCTCCAATTGCCCAACTGCAGATCGAGTGACCAGCTCGCGGGACTCTTGATTCTGGAGCTGCGAGATCTGAGATGCAGAACCAGAGTACGTGACGTTCGGCTCGAGTTGCCCAGTTTGCTGAGCGTGTGAAAAGGAGCGAGTTGGTGGCACAGCCAAAGAAGCTAAAGCAAAAATCGCGTTTATGGCGCGTGCAGCCATTAAGCGTTTTGCTAGAATCAGCAAGCCATTCCCGTTTCCATTCCCAGTCAAAGTCCCAGTCCCATTCTCATTCTCATTCCCGTTCTCGTTGTTATTCCCAGTGGCCCCGTGCGTATCCTTCCTTCCATACGCCAATCAAGGGGCGAGCGTTAATATTTTTGCGCAAACAAATCATAAATATTAATTTAACGACTTAATTCGACGGCGCAATATGCGCTCCCGTTCCCAATTCACAACTCACAATTCCCGATTCGCATTCGCGTTCGCAAGTCGATCATTCTCGACGCGGATGCCACTTGCGGCCACCTGTGGCACTCGCTGGCTAGTTCGGTTGTGGCAGCCAGTCACCCAGTCAGCCAGTCAGTGGCCTGAAATCAAAACAAACCCCAAAACTGCCGGAAAGGTGATTGTGTGGCTACCAAGCTAAGAATGCAGTCGACCAAGGAGATACCTCGTATTAAGGATTTTGAAAAACACTTTGTGACTTTCCCTTGAGGTTGTATCACTTGGTTTTAGAAGTGGTTCAGTGATGTACACATAAATCAAAGTTTATTTGTTTGCTTTAACGCATGACCTCGCGTTTTGGTTTTTTAATTAATTAGCCGAATAGATTTTTATTTGTTTTCCCATCTGTCAGATTTTTTTAACACTATGGACAAGGGAAAAAATATTTTTATTTAAGACGATTGTCACTAACTAAGTTAACTAAGTAAGTTAAAAAAGTCCTTCAAAAAAGTCTCAAATAACGAATATTTTCGGTCCCCTTTTATAATTTATTAATATTTTATTATATTCAACAAATATGGTTCAACACTAAAATATTATTTTAAACTGAATTTGAATCTATGTTAAACTTCCAAGATCTGTAAAGCTTATATTATTTCATACCTAATTGATTAAAGTACATGTATCTTATTGAAAATTGTTGCTTATAATAATAAATACTTAAAAAGTAAACTTATTTGGAATTGTTACTTTTAATTGTTTTACAGAATTGGGCTATTTAGATTGGCATTCACTATTATATATTTGTTTTCTTGTGTAAATTATAATTATTAATTTTCTTAATAATAATATTAAACAGTTTAATAGCAAATTAAGTGATTTAGGAGCAATTTGTGGATGTGAAACGATGCTTAAGCCCCGTCACATACTCAATTCCAGCACTATATTGGCCTTGCCCAAACGATTTGTGCAGGGAATGAAGGCAGAATGTTGTTAATATGTTGATGCTGTTGTTTGATTGTTGTTGGCGTTGCATTTTTATGTGCGCCGCAGGCTCAGGCGGTGTAAACAACTTTTATTGCCCGGCCCGACACTCGGCGAAAAACCCGCCCACGCCGCCCCCTCTCCGGGCTTTATGGCGTGAAACTATTTATTTGTAAGCGCATCAAAGGAGCCACAACAACAGCAAACAGCAAACAGCGGCTACAACAAATTGCCATAAAATGCGAAGCATAATTCTTTGTCCGTGTGTGTTTCGTTTTTGGCCTTTTCTGTTTTTGTTTTTGTTTTTTTTATGTTTTTGTTTTTTATGTTTTGTTTTCGGTTTTTAACTGAAACTACGCAGACCTTGCAGCGCATCGAAATTTCGCACAATGACCAATGCCCCATCATCAGCATCAACATCAAACTCAACATCGTCGTCATTATTTCGCGGCAACTTTTTGCGCCGCCAGAAAAGATCTCCTACGAGTGTAGTGGGTATAGTATTTTTAGCACTTGACAGAGTACGAAAATACTCGGGCGAGACTCAGTCCGTCTGCGACTGGGGAATGGGTATGGGAATGGGAATGGGAATCGAGATATAGTAGGAATAGGATTCGGAATCGAAAGAACCACACCAAAACCAAAACTAAAACCAAAACCAAACCGAACTGAACAGACAGAGGGGCGTCGCTCTTAGTCAGACGACTTCGCATCAACGCCATAGTTCAATAGTCTAAAATTTCCCCAAAAAAAAAAATAGACGCAACATTCAGAGGAAGGGAGAAGCAATTTTCAAATTACAGACACTAAGTGCTCACTGTGCCCATTTCGGTGTGAGTAATTGAGTGTGTCTTTGGTTCGCATTGTTCTCGGCGTGAATCACTCACAGAATCAAAATCAGTGTGTGCCGAGGCATAATAGAGATATCAAATAATTGTTATGTTCTTGCCCCACACAACAGGATCATAAGTGAAATGCGAGTCCGGGAAATGGGTGAGTGGGTGGGCTCTATTTACACTTGACTTCTCCGCCAGCGGATGAGTAATCCCCAGCACTCAATGTCAGCCATAAGATCCATTAATGAAAACAGATGATAAATTGTCTCAACAAGTTGCAGGCGGCAAAACAATTCCATGGGAATTTTCCAAACGAGAAATCTGATTTATGGAATATCTATTATCCCATGTATTCAATTTGAATTCTTAAAGATACATTTCGGAAATCCAAATAAAATGCCAATTTATTTTTATTTATGTAGGGTATTTATCCTTTATTTAATAGGCATTTTATAATGTTCATTCTTTATGGGATAAAATGTATTTTTTAAAACACTCTGAACAAGGAAAATATGTTCAGCATACTTAATTCTAAAGCAGTAAGATATGTATTGTGATGTATAACATTTTTAAAGTACTACAGATTGGAATGGGTTTTTTTTATACAAATAAAAATGTAATTTCATTTTATGGATTAAACTTCAATTTCTAATTAAATAGATAAAATACCAAAAGCTAAGTTCAAACTGAAAAAAAACTTTCAAATAAGTTAAAAGTAACCCCACAAACTTATATGGCTTACCTACTATTAAATAACTATAGATTAAGCTGGACATCAAAAATAGAACTTGCCAGTTTATATCCTATAAAAATCGACAACCAATTGAAATGGCATCCGAAGTAAATTACCGAATTTATATCCTGTAACTCACATAATTCTGTGAAAGTTGTCCCTCCTGCATGGAGCTACTTCCAATTCCATTTGGGATATTTTCGAATCGAAACTTGTGCCATCTGATATTGGCGCGATATTTGTTTGGCTGCACTGCAGTAAAGTAAAGTAACTTCCTAAGCGAAAACGCGACTGTGCAATCAGCGAATGCGCCACTTATAGGGATATCTGCTTAACTCGTTCTTTATCTATGTTTTTCGCTCCGAGTTTTCCGGCTGTGCGCTGTGCAGCTGGGAAAGCTGAAGCTGATTGTCAATTTGCGGAAAGCAGGACGAGGGGTGTTCTGTCTCACTCCCAGAAGAGGAACGAGACTCCCCGCCGTTGTTGTTTGCAAAAATAGAATTTTGTCTCTGATTTTAAGTATTTCGCGTGAAAAGTAACAGAAGCGACCCGAACGGCACGGACCAGACCCAGACCGTCGACCATAGACTGTGGAGTATAGACTATAGACCAGACAAGACCTCCAGACATTGGATGGAGGATGGGGGATGGAGTAAGGAGTACAGAGAGGGACCAGGACCACCAGTCAGAGCCAGAGTCAGTGTCTCTCAATTGCAAATTTATGTGAATTGAGTCAATTTTATCGCAGCCAGCTAGGGGAGTTGGTTTGGGTTAGTTTACTTTTGACTTGTTTGTCCCTAGAAAACTTTGCGTCGTTTGACTGGCGTAAATCGTACGACTGGAGCCACTTGAACTTGGCGCTGCCAGTGGCCATCTTTTGGGTCCTTCATCCACCTCCTCTGCCTCTGCCTCCGTCTCCTTCTCTTCCTTCCATTTTTCCTGCCCTGCTGGTTGGTTTCCGCGGTGACCAGCTGGCAGCGCCAATTCCGGATCATTAGCTCGCCGAGAAATGTGAGGGCGGCGCAAGAGATGCCCACCACCAGGATGCCGAAGGGTCCTTTCAAGTGCTCCGTGGTGAGGACAATGGCCGTGTCCGCGAAATGCGGTCGCATCTTATTGATCCTGTTCAGATATGTGTTGTTGTACCGAAAATCCGCATCGATCTTCTGGAAGATGCCCACATCCCGCATCAAACGGATGATGCTGTTGATCTCGAAGAGAAATGGAAAGCCCGCCTTCATGATCATCTGCAGTGGACTACTAAAGACATTGTTGGGAAAGGCGTATATGTCATCCGCCAGGGCACTCTGCATCGTGTACATCCGGTTGCTCAGGATGCACCGCTTGCCCCACTTCACCGCCTCCAGGTTCTTCGTCTGCGGAGCAAACTCCGGCGTGGTGTTGTACCCATTGAAGATCCACATGTCATCGTCGTTCTCGAACCAATCCCGACTTTCCTCATGTCCGCCATAGGGAATCCCCGCCTCGAGCACCTCCCTCAGTTCATCCAGTTGATGGAGGTGCCCGGGATCTTGAAAGGTGGCTATCATCTTGGACGTGTAGGTGGCCACCACATTCAGGCCATAAAGAGTTAGGGCCATGAAGAATAACCTGGTGCTCTCGCAAATCGGACGCTCTTGAATGGCTATGCTAATCGATACAGCCAGTGCATTAATGGCCGTTAAACTCAACTGCTGGAAGTACTTCGGTTCTGGCAGGACTGTGACCAATGCAAACCAGAACAACCAGCTGATTATCAGGATCAAGATGAAGCCAATCCAGGTGTACACCTCGAAGATACCCACCATCGCTTGCCAGGCGGGTCGTCGTTCGGCCATCTTGATGTACCAGGTGTGCGCATCCTGCAGATAGGTGTCGGATCCCCAGAAGTAATCGGCCACCTCGTTGTCCGGATAAAAGCCACCGATTATGAAGTCGCACTCGTTGTCCACAACTTTTTCCAGCAAGCCATTCCAATTGCCAGCGGTGTCCACTTCTCCACGTGACTCCAGAGTGCAGGTTTGATTCACCTGATTGGGGAAGAAAGTGATTAAGATATCGAAATTAAATCATGTTTAGGTATGAAATGTATAAAAGATAAAACTTAGAAAAAATTCTTCCTTACATTAGAGGAAAGGTACCCTGAAAAATTACAAATAGTTTGATTATTTTGCGGTCTCTAAAGATCTTCGAAGAGGAAAACTCTTTCCCTTAAGATTTCTATACAACCTTAGTATATTGTTAATTTTTTTACAAAAAAAGTACATAATGTTATATGTATTTATTTACACTTAATTAATTCTGCTAGACTGAAGTACTATTGATGGACCATTTGAGTCTTTTTAAATAGCAATTAAATTGGATGGAAATATAAAGAAAACATGTTACTTACATTTTTTCTGGTACAGTAGGCTGACAAACATGTAAGTTTATCTACATGATGTATGCAACAAATACAAGGCTTGTATAATTTTTTATACTCACATAGAAGTGCAGTCGATTTTTCATGAATCCCAGGATGCGCATCTCCAGGCCCGTGATGCAATCGGCCTCCACAAAAGGAGCCGAGATCGTGGCGCAGACGAAGAAGGTGCAGTTCCTGGGACTGAAACCGGCCACGTAGTCCAACATGGAGGCGTGCACGGCAGTGGAACTGGGATACAACTTGCCATCGTGGCAGTGACCCAAGCTCTGGACATTCAGAATCCTGCAGTCCACATTGCTGTAGTAGTCGTTGACCAACAGATTGTAGTCCGTGGTGGAGTCGGCAAACAGCAATGCCACTCGATGTACGTAAAAACTTTGCATTAGTGCGGTGAAAATCTTGGTGGCCACTTTCCTAGGTTTTTCCGCAGGGTTGTGGAAGAGGATCAGGAAACGGGCACCCGGATTCCAGGAGCGCATCTTGCTTATATAAAAAGCCATCAGACTGAGCAGACGCTCCACGGAGTCCACAATTATCACATAGTTATCCGTGAGGATGAGTTCCCCCATGTTTTTGGACTTCTTCTTTTCCTTGTGATCGCTGACCACTCGCATCTGGAAGAGTTCCTGCCGATGAGGCTCCCCGGGATCAGTGGCTGCCTCGTTGATCCGCTTGCTGAATCCCTCCTGGATCTGATCCGCCGGACTGGACAGATTGAAGGCGTGTGTCAGCATAAGATTGTAGGCCCTGGTGAATCGCTCCACTGGATTGCGATAGAAGAAGATTTGGGAAAAGCTATCGAGGCAATCGACTCCTGCCTTCCAAACATCCGGTCCAATATCCTTGGCAGGGAGCATGAAGATCACCGTGTTGGCCGTTTCATTCGAGGGATTCACTATTCCCTGACCCACGCCAAAAAGCTGCAGCAGGAAGACGATGGCACTTAGATAATTCCACCACATTATTGTGTCTGTCACGTTGCACAATTGCGAATTAACTGCGAGGGTGTGATTTTTGTTGGCCATACAAAGAAGTCATGTAAAGAATATCCTTCGTTTGAATAGTTGGGTATATCGGTTATGAAAAGTTTAAAATTTTTTAAAAATTTCGAAATATTAATTTTATATGTTAAGTAATTACTAAGGGTAGCTGACTTCAAAGATGTTTTGGGAGAAAATACATGCTTAAGAAGTAGTGATTTGCTTATAGTTTAGTGATTTTCCCCTATCAGAGAGTCCCGAATTCCTTTGTGAATCACAGCCTTTCAAATCCATTGAACAGGCCGGATAGAATGCATTAAATCATTTCGAAGGAGCCGAAGGAGCGCATTCAACTCTCGCCTTTGGCCGATGTTTGCCTTGTATAATTGACTGCTGTCATCGTGCCGACAACAAGGATGGCTGCAACAACAAACAATCGCCATTGCAACATGCAAGGCTTAAATTAAAGCAAATATTTGCTCAGTCGCAGCGGCGCCGCCGCCAACAATGGTCGAAATGCATTAAAACACTCCATCAATCCGAACCTTTTGGCAGGGCGGCCAAAAATACGACTATATGGCGCACTAACTTCTGTTCGTCCGGTTTGCGGGGGATGACGATGACGATGATGATGGCCCATGGCATGGCGTTGGCCGGAAGTAGCCGGTCATAAAAATAAAACTCGAGATGGCCGGCCATAAGCCAAGTCAATGAGTCATTTGCTGCAATGGCCATCCTGCCCCCTCCGCTCACATTGCCACTGCCACAAATTGCATCCTTATCCTTGCCCCGCCACTCGTGTGCGATTCCGTGTGGGTGTATCGCATCGGCGAGCTCATTTGTCTTAGCAGTTTGTCATTAGAAATATCGCTCGTAAATTTCGCATTTAATTACAATACAAAACTCGGCAAGTTGAGAAAGAGAAGACCACTGCCCAGGGGACTTGAGCTCAATCTTTTGTTGCAACAAAGTTGCAACAGCTTCGGCGAGAAGATGGATAAACAAAGTTGGCAAAAGGAAGTGGCAAGTCGGCGAACAGATACCCTTTCTTGAAGGTGATCAAATTAGAGGTTTTTTATAAAATATATTTTATTTGTTACGAAATATATATATCATTTGTGTTAGAATATTTATGAGCTACCTTTATAGATCATAAATATATATACTCGGTATTCAGACGTCCTTCAAGTGGTGTATTCTTTCACTCCATTTCTGTTTTCTGATCTTGCCTTACAAAAATGAATGGAGAAAAGAGGAAAGACGATTAGGTTAAGACGACCGTAACTTGTCAGAACATCCCAATCAAACTAAAAAAAATCATCAGAGATCTGGAAAAGCAGTGGATAAGGGCAATTAGTAGTTAGATAAATTAGGGAATTTGTAGGACCTTACCTCCTTCTTAATCCTGATGACACAATGGGTACAGACATTAGCGATTCCCGTGTTTTCGTCGTGGATATCCAGGAAAACATCTTTATCAATGTGCGGGGAATTCCGGCTATAATAAAAATTAAATTTAATTTAATTTGATATTTTATTTTTGATATTTAACGCACTAATACAAATCGAGTGTTAACCGGAAGAGCTCCCAAATGTAACTAAATTAAATAGAAATTTCTTTTCTATTTATGTTTTGACAGGCACATGAAATTGTGCCTTGGCCTACTATGATATTATTATTTAAGATCATAAATATAGAGAATTTGAGTTCGTCTTTAAACCAAGATTTTTAATGATTTCAATTGATTTGTCTTTAGATGTTCTCTGTTAATCTTGGTACATAGAATTAAGTCTATTTATCTCATAAAAATATGATTTAGGGTCAGCCAACTGACCCTTTTGGGCCAGAGTATGGCCAAAAGCCGCTGACTCATTTGGTTCAGTTCGGTCCAGACAGGCGGCAAAACAAATTGCGTGTGATAATTTAGTGTCATCATTTTTGACAAAGGGCGTTAACAGCTCACTTACTCCGCCCCTCAAAGCCGACTTCATCTCGTTTTGCAGATTTGTGCTGAACCTGAACGACTCGACGCCGCTGACGATTCGCTTTTCGGCGCCCGTGGGCCGCAAGATGTACTACAATCAGACAGGTAAGTCCGCCCCTCTGGAAGCGAAACCCCCCCACCTCACTGCACTGCCACCTCCTCTGCAGGAAACCTCCTCCGACCGGCGGCAGTGGCACCTGGGCCAGGTGTATCTGTGGGCAGCCTGGTGCTGCCCTGCGCCCTGCCCGGCCAGTACGACCTCTTTGTCCAGGCCCGCCACTCTGGAGCTCTCAAGGTGGACGCCCTGGCGGAGCATCCGCAGCACGACTGGCCCCTGCTCAATGCCACGCACCGGATCGCCATTCGCACCCAGAACCGCGTGCGGAAGCACGAGATGATCGTCAAGTGGGACAGGAGGTTAGTTATGGGGAGTTGGTAAAATGGGCAGTTAGGTCCAGAGGTAGGCAGCAATTAAAAGGGAAATATCAATGGAAGAATAGGAAGAAGGAGGGCTTGTTGTTTACTATTTTTATGCGCCTGCTATTTGCCATGGAAAAATATTCGAAAAACCTTGATGTTCGTACTTTAATATTTGGAAATATCAGAAACTACTTTCTTATTTTCATATTTTAATAAATATTCACTTTTATTTAATTAATGTACAATTTTTGATTTCTTCCTTTAACAGAAACTTGACTAATTAAATGCCTGTGCAGTAAAGTTAAAACCACAATATCTGTTGACTTTAATTAATTTGGCATTTATTTGTGAATAAGGAAGCCTATCAAAACATATATACTTGTAAATGAGGCGATAAAAGTACAATAACTTAACATAAATAAGATTTAAGGGAAAGTTATAGGCAGTTACACACGAATGAGATTTTAGCTAGGAAGGTATTGCAATCTTGTATCTCCCCTTAGATGGTGATATCACTGCTTAAGTAAGTGCTTTAATTGTGTTATTATTTAACTGATGTTAGTTAAAATGTTAGGAAATATTAAATGAATTTTAAGCACCGCCAAAAAGGCGTTAATTTATTTTTTGGATGTTCCCTGATTGTAACCCTAATAGGCTACCTAGTACTTTCTCATCGGAAGTTTATCCTAAATCGTTTCAGCAAGTTTGACTACCACGTGATGCACTATTGCCTGGTGATTCAGCGACTTGCAATGAACACTCCACGGAAGAGCTTCGCCAACTTCTGCCAGGCGGTGTCCGCCTTCGTGGGCCAGCGATCCATGACTCCCAGCTGCTCCGGTGGCAATCCCATGGACCTGGTCTGGGGTGCACCACCGCAGCGGGAGAGGAGACTCAATCGGCGGCAGAACCTGCACATCGTGTGCACGGGAAAGAGGCGCCAGCAGATGCTGCGTCGTCTTGTGCCCCGTAACAACTACCAACTAGACCTGTTTGGCATCCACCAGGCGAGGCAGAACCTCACCTTTCCACTTGCCAGTACCGAGGTGAACTTCAATCGCACCCAACCGCTGGCCCTGAAACAGCAGGCCCTGATGCAACTCAAGATCGGAGGACAACACGGCAAACAGGTGTACAGCTTCAAGGTGCCACAGACGATGCTCGAGGATGAGGAGCCCTTCATGCGTCACCTGTTGATTCCCTGCTCCGGCAGCGAGATCAGAGTGAAGCTACTGCGTCAGCGAAACGAGGTGGGCAAAACCGAGGCCTTCTACAGTCCAACTTATATAAGGCAAAAGGGAGTGACTCCTGGCGAGCGGTATCTAATGAGATTCGAGCCCAGCAACGAGGATGAGGCGTTGCGAGCCCAGAAAGTGATGGTAAGAGGGTCTTTTGTCATCCAAAACAATATCCCACAATCTATAAATAACTCTTCTTTAGGTGGCCTTGAGCAGCGAGGCTTTGTTCCGGGATTTACCCGAGCTGCCGCAAAACACCAGTGTTTTCAATGTGCGCACGAGGTGTAATAGAGCCACTATAGCTTGGAATGGTTCGCCAGATGAACGCGAGTTAAGGTAAGACTACAAAAGTGTTAGCTATATGGAGTATATTATATTATATATGTATATTCCTTAACCCACAGCTACTGCATCATAGTGTTCAATCTGCCGCAGCGCAATCGCAGTGTGGTGGACTCCACCAACTATTGCATGGACTTTGTGCCCAAAAGAGTGGAGCACTACAGGAATTTTGAGTGGATGACTTGTAGGGAGCGGCAGCAGAGGTGGGTTTTGGTATTACAATTTCTATATCATAGTATAACTAATACATTCCACAGTCCCGACAACATCGAAACGGAGACCATTCTGAACCTGATGCCGGGTTCCAGTTACCTGGTCTACGTGACCGCCAATCTGAGCATGGGCAAACCATTGCCCTACCAGGCACTCACCCTCCATATGGCCAGTCAATGTCTGGACGGATCCCACGAGTCCTTCTACTAGGAGTTACGAATTTCGGGACGTAACCCCCAACCCCCCAAAAACAAAAAAGCTTCGCTGCATTTTCGAATACAAACACTGAACTATCCGTCGTTGTAAAGCTACCTTATCCACTACGATTACTACACTATCCTACAAAAACTATGCTGGTTAAAAGACTATACACCTAGCTCCATATACTATATATATATATATATATGTGTGTATATATATAAAGATATACATATATACAGATGTTCGTGGCAAATGTTGTGTGAGCGAGTGAGTGTGTGCGTGTGACTTATGATTGTGTTTGCCATTTGATTCCAAGTATTTTTCGAGTGCTTAGTTTTGTAATTTTTAGCTAGCCGTTAATGTTTGTATAAACTGTTTCATTGGTTTTTCCCCCACTCTGCTTACCGGATAATCGTTTTTTAGATTTTAGCCCTAGCACTCCTAGTTTAAAGTTTAAAGTTAGTTTTCGTAGGCTTTTGCTGTTAAGTTTAAACCGTAAACAAAGAGTTTTGTGTAGTTCTTTTGTACATTAAGCTTACAGTTAGCTCTATATTAGATATATATTATATACCATTATATATGTGCGTTGAAAGCGTTGTATTTTTTGAAGCCGAACTTATGCAACCGAAAGGAGGACAATAAACAAATGTGCTATAAAAGGACGGGAAGTGTCGCAAATAAATGTGAAACCGCAGCTATGGAAAATCCGATTTTCGCAAGGTGTTTTACTCCCGCGCAAAAGCTTTTTGGGGCATGAATGGATGAGTGATTACCACAAATCGTAATCACTATAATCATCATCATTATCATCATCATCGTGATGATGGCGTGTGCAACGAGGTGCGCATAATAATGACAGTGGATAGCAATCTGAACGATAAGCGTCAGCCGATAATGAAACATTAAACCCATCGGCAGTGGATGGCCATAAATCTGCCGGCAGTCTGTTCGCGTAAGCTTTTGGCTGCGGACCTTAACGCGGCATACTTTCGGGCCCGAGTTGGAAATGGCCCTGCTCCACTACACTTTCGACCAACTCGAGCGGTACCTGGAATGGGCCTTGGCCGAGCACGGCGAGGTCACCCCGACTTCGACTGCCCTGTTCCCCAAGTATCCACCGTATCCGGGCGTCTTTGTCGAGGATCTCAGCCAGCTGAACCGCTTCAAGCGGAACTCTTTTACGGCGGTGGTGGGAACCCTATTCCTACTGGCCTTCACTGGGAATCTGTGCGCCCTGGTCGTGAACTCCCGCCGGAAACTGAGACCCTTCTTCAGAGCCTGCCTCATATCGCTGGCCTGCAGTGACCTCGCCTCCACTGTCTTTTGCACCGTGTCCTACATGGCACAGTTCCACGGGAAATACCTTCAGCTTTGGGTGAGTGGATAAAACAGGAACAAATGGAGTTGGATTAACAAGATGTGTATTGGAAGTCTGCATTAATGTTTTCAATTCACTTAGCAACAGTCGAATCCTTCAAGTAGTATCATGCAGATCTTTTGTGTGAATTTCTTTACAAAATCTCCTTTTATTAAGTCTTTTTCAAAATGAATAGAGATATAACATAACTCGAACAATAAATCCGTTTTTAGGCCTTGAGTTAAATTAAAATATTGTTTCCCACCGTTTATATTGAAATTATGAAACATACTTTATTAGTTATTCCAAAATAATTGTTTTTGTCAACTAGTATATTTATCTAAAATAGGAAAGGGATTAACCAAACATATGCATAACGAGTTTTTAAAGAAAAATGAATATACATATTTTGCATATTAAAAATGGGTTAAAAATACTAATTTTGTGCAATTTAGGGTTTCAATTTGCAGTCACTATTTTTTGAATGGAAAGATGGTAATGTAAAAAATTTAAATATAATGTAAGGTAAGGTGAATAATAAAGATTCGTAATTATTTTACATTTTTTTAAGCCTCGACTTGGGTTATAAAGTAACTATTAATCATTTCAGACCATTGGTGGCTTTATGTGCAAGTTTGTGCCTTTTATAACCACCACATCGGTGTTGTCCGGCAGTCTGACCCTGGTGGCCATTGCCCTGGATCGCTACTTGGCCGTGATGCGACCCGTGCTGGGTTTTTGGAACCCAGACATCCGCTTCAGCTGCATGAGCATGCTGCTCATCTGGGCCTGTTCGATTGGATCCTCTGGACCGCTGTTGGGGATCTACGAGTACAAGGAGATCTTTCTCCTGGAAGAGAGTGACACTTCTGAGAACAGTGAGGAAATCACGGCCGCAGTGCCGGAGGAACTGGTGGTCACCGAATTGGAAATGGCACATATGTGCGTAGCCGGAGACGTAAGTCAACGACTAGATTATCGCTTTACACTTGACAGCGATTAAAGGGGATTTGTGCGAGGGGGTTGGGGGGTTGACTTGTTGAACCAGTGTTCTGCTTATCTTATCAGCTGTTTGTGAAAAAACAATTAATGCAATTCTATTAATATTCCGTTTTTAGCACGATGTTGGACTCTACTACGTCATACTGTTCACCCTGATTTTTCTGCCCTGCATAGTGTCCTTCCTCTGGCTGAATGCCACGATTGCCAGGCAGCTGTGGCTGCGGAGGCACTTCCACCAGGAGCAGCAGGTGCAGCAGCAGGAGCCCAAGGAGGGTCAGTTCAAGTCGATGGGCAATGGCGGGGACCTGCTGATGCCCTCCACCTTGGTCAGTGCCATGGGTGTGGCCCTGCCTTTTGCGCTGGAGAAGACTTCGCTGCCACCAAAGAATCCGGTCAAGGATCCTGGCAAGAAAACCACAGCTGTTGCCCTGGCCAGGGAGGCTAGACACCGCAAGATGGTGGTGGTGGTGATCCTGATGATGGCTGTCTTCATCTGCCTTCGATTGCCTGCCTGGGTTTTCCTGATCATGCGACTTTTTGGTTCCTATTCAGAGCCCATCGACTGGCTGCTGTACTTCAGTTTCGGCATACTAAACCTGTTCAGCTGTGCCTTGAATCCGATTTTCTATACCTTCCTAACTCAAACCATTCGCACAGTGTCGCTGGTGAAGCAGAAAGTACGGGGATTCTTTGGCTGTGCATCTGGCGAAGTGCAGGAGTCCATGCCCACGGATCATGTGGATAAGAGCAGGTGCTGCTGTGGACTGCGTCCGCCCACTTTCAAATGGATCTGTCATCCGGCGCGGAATATGGCAGCACCCACTGGAATCCGGGATGCAGAGCAGCCAGATCCACACTCCGACCAGGTGCAACCGGATCCGAGTAGCCTGCGGCGATTCCTCAGCTTCAACCGGGAGGTGTTCACCATTTACAAGCAGTGCGATGACTCGTCGAGTGCGTCAATCGAGTCCTCCGCCTGATAGGCGGTGGTCATAAATCACTCGGCTGCATTTGTCGGATACGGGGGCCAACGGTTAGCAGAACTTGATTGATGGATCCAGCCCCCTTCCATACGGCTGCAAAAAGCGGTTTGTCACGGTGGGCATACATATCACCTATAGATATACACACTTAAGCGCACATATTATGTACCTCATTAAACGTGTAAATACGAAGAATAAAGCGAATGGGTGTTGGCAACTAACTAACCATTAACACACAGCATAATCGAGATCAGGAAGGTCTAAGTCATCATCACAAGTGTAATTGAAGCGCAATTTGACACATCTTAAGCAGCAAGTGCACATAATTAACAAATTGCTTATTTTTCTTAACTAAGAAGTTATAGCTTATTATAAACTGTTTTATACATTCAAAAGTTTATAAGCATTTTGGTCAACCATACATAAGTGTTAACCAAAATATAAAGATGGTGAGTTAAGAACTTTTCATAAGATTACATTATCAAGTGGTTTATAATAAGAGGCTTCCAATAATTTTGGCTTATTATTTATATTCCATTTCAATTAAGATCTGTAATAATTCTCACAAAAAATCTACCCCACTAAAAAGATCCTAAAAAAGTATAAAACAAAATAGTGTTCATTCTAAAATGGACATTGTGTTTAGGCAGTCATCATAAACAAAAAACAATTAGTAGTTTATGACTTATAATAGAAACCGAAAGTTGCTCGTTCATTATACCCAACTTAACTAGTTTAAATGTTGCCCAAATATGCTAATATTTCAAACAACATTTTAACTAAGAATGACTAAGAGAAGTTCATGATAAAGTCAGCAGATCGTGGCCGAAACAATGCATCATGATCTGTATCGCAGATTCGATACTATATACTTCCGTTGTGGAACAATAGTTAACCAATTGTCATGAGAGATAAAGCCGAAGTTAATTAATTGTCAAAAGTTGGGCACGCCAGAGACCTTAGCTATAAGGCAAAAGCTCTCTCCCCTTTTTCATTGAGATCCGAACGGTACTCTCTCTTTCCCATGAACTTTTATCAGCCAAAGAGCTCGAAGCTCGACTCAAAGCTGTAGTCTGCGGTTTTCAGTCATTCATTGTCGGCGGTTCGCGGCGAGCGGTTGGCTTTTCTCAGCGGGGAAAACGCGAAAAAAAAACGTCTGTGTGCGGCGGGTGAAATCTTCGGCAGAAGCTGAAAAAAAACAAAGCGACAAGTGTGGAGTGCATGCCAAAAAAGAAATAAGTTCGGATCGCATTGTGCGGCGGTAGAAAATCGCGAACCAAACATATGAATCGCACATAAATGAGGCCAATCGCCGAAGCAGAGCTGCGAATTATGGCACTTTATTGCCTATAAATAGTGTAACTATAAGAAAGAAAAAGTGGCAAACAACCGAGGAAAAAGCATAAAAAAAGGGAAAAAAGAAAGATATAAATAAATAAAGAAAACAGAAACCGAAAGAACAAAGGCGGGTTCGTTGTGGGTCAAGAACGAAAGTTCGGCCCGTTGATTGTGCATTTTTCGGGACAGGTAACTACAATCTATGCGAAGTCTGCGGCTTTGATCAATGTTTTGGTTTGCTTTGATCTGAAACCAGTTGTGTTGGTTACTCTTTTTTTAGTTTTTTTTTTCTACTATTTACTGTTTACTGTTACACATTTCGTCAGAAGCAACGCGTCAGGAAAAACACGTTTGCGCATTTCACTTTGGGTATCCTATCTTGTCACGCATGCGCAGACCATCTTGCAAAATCTCCACTTTGTTTCACTTTTTGCGGCCCATTCTAAGGTGTTACTGCCACACTATCTATATATGTGTTTCCCAGACGAAGACACCGATCCATACCCATCCATATCCAATCTTCTGGTTACGCAGCTTTACGCTTTCGTTTGGCATTCTATTTTCCGTTTCTATTTGCGTGCAGTTCGCTGTGTTTGAGGTATTTTGAGCTGCGATGAGTGGCTAATGGCTGCATGTTTAATTAGCCACCGCTAACCAAAACGCTCGGGGCACAAAAACAAATATATAGGCCAGTATTTGGTCATGACGAGGCTGTTCCATTGGCCACTGGCCATCTCATGTACATACGAATGGCAAATAAGGCACACGCACTCCCCGAAGCTTGACCATGAATATTAAATCGATGGTGAATTGGGTGGATTTTAGTGGGGATAGATGGAAGATCGAAATGTCTTAAGGGGGAGATCGGAATAATTTACTTTTCTAATTTTTACGTGCCTAAAATAGCAAGTAATAGTTGCTTATCTGTGGGCAAACCAAATGTCAACGTGTGTTTTTTTGTGAACGTGAAAATTGAGTTAATTCTTGCCCACATTCTTGCGAAGCTTTCTTTTATGAAATCAATTAAAAACTATCAATCACTCAAAAAATTTCCATAGGCCAATTTGCGGCTGGGAAAAAGAAAAGAAACTCACTTTCGTTTTCATCTGGCCAACAAGACGGCGCTCTCCCATCTCTTTCCTAATTATTATAAAACCAGAAATGTTCATTAAAACATTACATGCAGCGTGACCGAGACTGCAGCATTATACAATAGACACTAAAAGCAAAGCCAACAAGATTGGATGGAATGACTTAAGCCCTGGGATATATTATAGTATTGTTGTTTTGTATGAATGTTTTATACATACATGGGTGTGGGACGACCCACTCCATTTAGCACATGCCCGAGTGTTTTCATGTTTCGGCCACCCAAAATAACAAAAGCGAAAGAAAGAAGAAATTATATTATCAAAAATAATTTCTAAAGAAAGTGAAAGTTTTTCGGGGCGCGTATACATTTTTTTTCCGCCGACTTACCGTTGCGTTGCTTTAAGGGCCTTATATTTTTTTTGGGAGTAATCGTGCCCTGAATGAATTGTGAATGAGAAAGCTGAACAGAATCATTGTTTGAGATGTGTGCCAAAAATCCATTTTTCTGACCACGTGCTGCAGGTGTAGACTGTAGACGATAAAAAACCGGTCTGGCTTAACTTTTGATAGTTTTGTAATGTCTCTGGGTTCAGGCGTTTTTGATGGCTGTAACTTGACCTGCATTCAGCTGGAAATTAGTGTTGTCCTCCGTTAACCTTGTCCGCGAAACGAGTTTTCTGCCCCCTATCAAATGTGTTAATAATGCATTTCTACTTGAACCCAGCCAGTCGCCCTAGAGAAGACACTTTCGATTTTCGCTCGAATCACCAAGGCAAATAAAAAGCTTTTTACCCCCCCTGAAATTATTACAAGACGGCGACGATTTCACTCCCGGGAGGCCAATGTACCTTTGGCTGGAGTATCTGGCTTATAGATGGGGCATTGTCGGCCAATTTGGCGGGGCTATGCCAATTGAATGGCATTGAGCCCGGTGCATAATGTAGCCCGCACATAAAACTCAAAACACGAAACACTCCTAAGGCCCGCCACCATAAACAAATCAATTTGCTTTAGTTGTTTTGTTTACTCGCACTTGATGGTTATTTTATATTGTGTCATGTGATAGCCGTTGGATGGGTAAACCATCAATTGGTCGTCTGAAGATGAGTCAGGGTCAAAGGGGTCCATTTGTCATTATCTTTAGATGTTTTTGTAAACTTACTTTTGGTTAATACAATAAAATGTAGCAGAAATTATAAATATTAATGCATATTATGATATGCTTTATAAATATCTGTAAGAACAAAGACATTAAAATTTTGTTCTTAAACTCAAGAAAATGGACATAATCTGTTTTATTAAAAACAATTTGACATATTTCTTCGTACTTGAGGGTTCGTTTGTTCACCAATTCCCATGTTTTAATTTTGTTAACCCCTTGTGTGTTTATTTACGCATTTCACACTGATAAAGTCATTTCCTTCAACAACAACTTGATAAGCCAGTGTTAAAAAATAAATAAAAACAAGAGAGAACGCCATAGTCGGGTGCCCCGACTATCAGATACCCGTTACTCAGGTAAAGGGAGTGCGAGGGAGATGGAGATAGAAACTTTGATCACGCATAACTTTTTAACGAATGGTCCGATTTGAAAAATTTCTTCTACATTTCGATAGGTATTGATAAACACAATAAAACTGCATTTTTACTTTTCCGAAATATTTAAATTTTTAAAATCGTATATAAGCGATTGTGGGGAGCGTCAGAGGAAGCGTGGCACCATTTTGAAACAAACTTGCGCTGCGTAGGAACTCCTAGAATCTGCATGCAAAATGCCAATCTTCTAGCTTTTATAGTTTCCGAGATCTCAGCGTTCATACGGACAGACAGACAGACGGACAGACGGACAGACGGACAGACGGAGAGACGGACAGACGGACAGACGGACATGGCTATATCGACTCGGCTAGTGACCCTGATCAAGAATATATATACTTTATAGGGTCGGAAACGCTTCCTTCTAGCTGTTACATACTTTTGCACGAATACAATATACCCTTTTACTCTACGAGTAACGGGTATAACTATGGCAGCAAATAAATTTAAAATTAATCAAAACACATCTGGGCGACAGATGCTGATAAGGCAATTTGATAAGGCCATCTCAGCAGAAACACAGTAAATAAACGAAATAAAAGCCCTGCGACTGTGATTTTCGACGACGTTTTAAACAAACAGCCCTCGATATAAAGACCCCGGCAACAACAGTGAGCTACAAATGTATCTGTCAGTCCGAATAAAAGCGCTGCAACAATTCCATCTAATGCCACATGCATCGGGAGGTGACAGTTCCCCGATTGCCGCTGACTTTGCTGATGATGTTGCTCATGTTTGTTGCTGCTGGTGTTGATGTTGCTGGTGTTGCTGTTGCTGCTGCTGCTGCTGTTGCTGCTGTTGCTGTTGCTGTTGCTGTTGCTGCTGTTGCTGTTGCTGTTGCTGCTGCTGCTGCTGTTGCTGCTGCTGCTCCTGATATTGCTGCTGTTGTTGTGGGTGTTCAAACATGTCTGCCATTTACAGCTAACGAGATTTTAAGTGCTGTCAAATGTTGATGAAAGCGGCAAACACCCGCACACAAATTGAAATTTAGATTTTGTATCCCCAGTGACGGGCAATCGGAAAGGTCAAGTGTTCCAAGGGATGTGGCTGGGTATGAAATTGGGGTATGGAAATGACTGTCATAGGATTTGTGGCAAAGCAACATAATGCGACAAAAGCCGGAGGGAAATTTATGGGCTGTCCAGTGGAGATACCTTTATGGCTGAATAAATGAGCAGGATTTAGACACAACAAGATTGGTACTTGCCATCATGGCATCAAATTTAATAGCAGTAGAAGTTGACATTTCGAATGTGATGGCAGTGGGTCTTTAGTTTAACAATATACCAATTTCCCTTCGAAATGTTTAGGAGTGATATTTTGTATGAAATTTGTGCTTCAACTAGCATTTGCATGTACAAAGTAGGAGTTGGCAACTTTAAAACACCTACTCTCAACTAAAAACCCTCTGCTTTCTAGAGGTTTCATGAACATGGCCAACTTTTTTGTCTGAGATTACGGGAGTACCCAACTCAACTGTGAGTTATTAAAAAGTTATAGCAGCAGCCAGTTTATTTATGAGCTTGTCCTCTGCATTGCATAAATGTTAATGGTACTAGCCATAAATCAAAAGAAAGAAAAAGAAACTGCATACTAAAAACCAAAACAAACCGAAAACGTTGATGAGCCACTGCACATACGTTTGCTTAAAAAAAAAGCGCCGTAATGAAACTCGTTCCACAAAATAATGACTCTCCAATTTGCTGTCACCGCTTATTATTTGTATTTTTTTTCGGGTAAACCCTGCTATGTAGGTCAAGCCGCCTGCTACCTGTGGAGCTCCAGCCCAAAAGTAACCTGGCGTAGCGAAGTCCAAAAGCCTGAATTATGACACAGCAGCAACCGCCGTGGCCGAGTCCCAGGGGAAACCGCTGGCTCATCTTGGCAATACTCGCTTTTCTCCACTTTGCAGATGGTAAGTAATCCGATGGGTTATCACGTGGTTATCAATGGCTAATTGAAGTATCCCCCTGCAGCTGCAGCCCTGCCCTTACTGTTTTCGCACATCAAGCCGCAGATCAACTGGACGCAGCCGGAAATGGAGCGTTGGGTGATTGAGGAGCAGCCGCGGAGCATTCAGCCCCACTTGGAGCCACTGCTGCATCCGAACCGCAGCCATAACATCCTGGCCGGAGATGCCTCGGATTCGGAGTTCCTGAAGCGACTGGTTCGTCAGAATCAGACGGCCAGTGGTCGGATGCTCTGGAACGATGTGGCCGGCGGAGATGGACTGGTGTATCCTCCCTTTGTTGACCAGGCCCTGAAGCTGTTCAATCTCAAGCAGGTGGCCTTCGAGATCGAGAACAGTCTGATGTCCAAGGTGACCTGCACCGCCTGCAGAGCGGGCACCGGAATGCTGCAGCATCAGATTCAGTCGGGGAAGACGGATACAGAGATCATCCGCATGATCACGGACTATTGCACCAATCTGAACATCCAGAGTGCCCGGGTTTGCCAGGGAGTGGCCCAACTCTTTGGCAGCGAACTGATATACGTGCTGAAGCGGGTCAACCTGAGTCCCGATGAACTCTGCAGTTTTGTGATTGGCGATGGCTGTGCCGATGTCTACAATCCGTATCACGAGTGGGAGGTGATTTTCCCGCCAGTCCCGAAGCCACCACGTCTGGCTGATCTGCCGATTCCCCTGGAAGCTGCTCCCTTCTTCAAGGTCCTGCACATTTCCGATACCCATTATGATCCTCACTACGCGGAGGGTTCCAATGCGGAGTGCAATGAGCCACTTTGCTGTCGATTGAGCAGCGGTCGTCCTGCCACGCCAAATGCAGCTGCCGGAAAGTGGGGAGATTACCGGAAATGCGATACCCCGAAAAGGACAGTGGATCACATGTTGTCACACATCGCAGAGACGCACAAGGACATCGACTACATCCTTTGGACAGGCGATCTGCCGCCGCACGATGTGTGGAATCAAACGAAAGAGGAGAACCTGGCCATCATCAAGGAGACCGTGAAGCAGATGGTGGAAATGTTCCCCGGAGTGCCCATCTTTCCAGCTCTGGGAAATCACGAAAGTGCTCCGGTTAATAGCTTCCCACCGCCATATGTCAACCAGGTGGATATATCAATTAGTTGGCTGTATGATGAACTGGATGTCCAGTGGCGAAGGTGGCTGCCCCAAAGTGTTACCCACACAGTGCGACGCGGTGCCTTCTACTCGGTTTTGGTGCGACCTGGATTCCGCATAATCTCGCTGAACATGAACTACTGCAACAACAAGAACTGGTGGCTGCTACTCAACTCCACGGATCCCGCCACCGAACTGCAATGGTACGTAAAAGTAACATGCTCGAAATATCAGGTTCTATAACAAACCTCCTTTACTTAAAGGTTCATCTACGAGCTCCAAAGCGCCGAGTTCTCCAACGAAAAGGTGCACGTCATAGGCCATATTCCACCAGGACATTCGGACTGCTTGAAAGTGTGGTCTCGCAACTTTTACAAGATCATTTCGCGTTACGAAAGCACAGTGACAGCTCAGTTCTATGGACACACGCACTACGATGAGTTTGAAATGTTCTACGATCCCCAGGATTTGAGTAAGAAATAATCGAATAAGTAAAAATACAAATTAATTAATTTTAACTGCCTTTTTCAGCTCACCCCAATAGCATTGCGTACATTGGACCCTCTGTTTCGCCTTACTACGATCTTAATCCTGGCTATCGGATCTATTACGTGGATGGTGATCATGACTCCACCACGCGACTGGTCATCGATCACGAATCCTGGATAATGAACCTCAGGGAGGCCAATCTGTATGGCTATCCCATTTGGTACAAGCTTTATACAGCCAGAGCTGCGTATAACATGAAGGCCCTGCGTCCCAGCGATTGGAACAATCTGCTCAACGAGCTGGCCAGTAATCAGGAGCTATTCGAGCTGTACTACAAGTAGGTGTTTATAATTAAAAGGTTTGGTTTTATATTTAATAAGAGATTTCTTTTTACTAGATATTACTGGAAAAACTCCCCGGCGCGACCCACCTGCGATGCCGAGTGCAAAAAGCGTCTGATCTGCGACTGCAAAAGTGGACGTTCCCACGATCGGAAACACTTTTGTGCCGAGGTCGAGTCCAAGATCGACGAGGAGTCATCCAAGTCCTGGAAGTCATGGTTCTACAAAGGACTTACCAACTCGTAAGCAATGTTTTTAGTTTAAAGCTACGTGTACGTGTTTTTCTGGTGTCGGTTGCTCAATTGTAAATGTTATCACTTGTTTTTGTTTCGCTTTTTCATGTATTTTATTTTTACCCTATAATACATAACTAACACATTTTATTTTATGCACTGGTGTGGTTAATGCAACAACTAAATATCGAATAACTTATTACCGAACAGAGCTGAAGATCGGAAGGAAATGCCGGTGACAACCACTGATAAGGATGGTTATGGACCGCTTGATCTGGTGATTATTAACGTTGGTGGTTGATTTATTAAGGCCTGTACATAAAAATGGTGGCGAGATTTTGTAAAGTTTCTATAACAATAAATGAATTAGACATTCACAACGGAAATTCTTTCTTTTGCCGAAAAGATATAGCCTGCTGTCCTCCATCACCTACCTGCCCAAATACCTGCTGGGATATCGCTGAGCTGATCCGATCCGTCGGTCAAGTGCAAGTCAATGCAATCGCAACGAATGGAAACACCTACCCCATAAGTTTACTATGTGATAACTAGTGCTTAAATCCCATTTGTCTAAGTTAACATTTAACGCAATGATGTCCCAATGGCCCGCCCCAAAAAGAACACGACTTGGGAACCCTTGAAACGCCCCTCGGAAACTGAGTCAGTGAACTATAGTCATTTAACTGTAATCGATCGAGTCGTTGTTGTTGCCCGTGCTGATGCATTTCGGAGCGTGGCAGGTGCGCCCTTTTACCTAATGGAAATTGTTGAACAAATTACTTTTTAGATACCTAATCGTAATGATAGTTTAGGGCTTATCGTAAATAAAGTGCAATTATTTTTATAAAACAAGTAATAGTTTTGCATTTTTGCATTTCAATTTAATTTAAACCGTCTTCGTTGTTATACAAATATAATATAAATACATAAATAGGTTGGCGCGAAATTCAAATTCAAACTAACCAGTGCTGTAAAACATTATCCCTTACAGTTTATCAGCACATTAACATTATAGTGACTTAACTGGAGACACCAATGTTAAGCTACATTGTAGTTATCGATAACGTGGTTTTTTTCCTTGTGAATGGCACAATGTATCGAAATATGGCAGTAAATTCAAAAGCTGATAAGGTTTTAAACTTTAATTTGAAATAATAGTAATCATACTAAGCAAATTTGTATTCGTTAAATTTACTACCCAACAATTAAAAATAATATAAATAAAACACATTTTTAATAATTATGGTTATATAAACGTTTTAACATTTTTAAAAATATTGAATTTTCGATCTACTTCTTAATTTATAACTTATAGACGTTTTCTTTTCTCTAATCGCAAATCAAAGCTATAATCTTATTTGTTATCTAAACAACAAAAATAATAAAATTAAACAACATAAGTGAGCCCTTTCGCAAGCTAATATACAAAATAAAGGTTTAACTAATTTAATATAAGACTGCTTAAAATGCAAAACAATACGTTTTTGTTTACAATAAAATAATTGTTGTAACTTAGTAATGGGTAAGTGATGAACACTCTAAATACAATATCAACAGAAATTCAAACAGGTTTGTTTAAGCTTATTAATAATATGGGCAAAATATGTGGGGCTACCTGCTCGCAATGCACTTAACTCCTGGCATTTCGAACCCCAGCCCCGCAGGATAAAGCGACGCTAGTCCTTTGAGCAAACGCCAGGATCCAACGGCAAAGGGGAATCGCTGGGCATATCCTAGTCCTTGTTGTCAATACGTCCGGGTGGACGATCCCGATGCCGTTGCCTTTGCCTTTGCCGTTGCTGTTGCTGTTGCCTTGAGCTTGTCGAGCGGCCGTGCGTGTTTTCCTTCATTGGCGATAAGACACGCAGCGCGATGTGTGTGTAAGTGCGGGGGATATCCTGGCTGCCAGTCATTATCCCTTTGTCACACATCCACACCCGCACGTTTTCCCACACTCACCCACACCCCACGCACACACACACACACACACACACACACAGGCGGGCAAAACAATTCCGTTTACATTTCCCACATCTCCTGCGAAATACATATACATATACACATACACATAATACACACAAATGGCGTGTGCCGCGTTCCTTTTTTTCCTGATTTCGTTGCTTGTTTTTGTTGCTTTGCATACTTTTAGGGGACGCTGCCGCTGGGAACCGCACATGTGTGTGTGTGCCACAAACAAACAAAAAACAAACAAACAAACAGAGAGCCCAAAACAGCAACAACAACAACAACAGCGGTGAAAAGTACAACAATGCAATGCGTGCAAATTTTTAGAAAAATATACAAACAACGGCGGGGGGCGGAGAACGGGGAGGGGGGGCGTGGCATTATCTCATGCGGCAGACACACTTTCACAGGATTCTCGATGCCGCGCTTAAATGCCGCTTAACATATTTGATTTTTCTTCTTTGCCCATTTCGGTTTACCAATCCTTTTTTTCTGCCAATTTCTTTTTTTTTTGTTGTTCTCCTTGTTTGTTTTTGGGTTGTGCGATTGTTGTTGCTGTCAAGCGGGCAAATAAATTTGCATTTCGACAAAGTGCGAGAACTCGCACATGTTAACCCATTAATGCCTGATTTGTGGCCAACACTACTTTATGAAATTGAAGTGGTGAAAGTAAATACAGAAAATAAATCTTTACTTTTGGCAAACTCTCTACCATTCACAATGGGTTAATTGAACATGCTGCGCTGCTCTTTAGAATTGGCGCCTTCATTTGAATGCCAAAACACGTTTTTAAATAAATCAGCGCATTAATTATTCTCGCTTGCATAAATCGTTTCGCTGTCGATGCTGCCTGCCCCAGGAAAATTTTATTCACCCCGATTTTCCGACCCCCTGCTGCTGCCGACACCTCCGCACATTTTTATTAGCTACGCATAATTGCTGCGGCAATAAAGTTGTTTTTCCCTTTGCCCCCGCTGGCTGCCACCCCCCCGAAAAAAAGGACGTGGACGAAGGACATGGACATGGACATGGCCAGGGGCACATCCACATCCACATCCTCACCCATGGACATCTAGGCATTGAGCGCGTGACCCGACAACATAACGACATTTAAGTGGCCACCGCAGCAGCAACATCGGCAGTGGCAGCCGGAGTCCTTCTGCTCCAGGCTGTGGGCGTGGTCTCGGCCATGTTTGGCAACATGTTACAAAAAATTGATGCCATTGCTGTTTTTCCATCTATTGTTGCTGCAGCTGCACACAGTATTTATTGTTACAAGCTGCAGAGCAAAGCACGACCATGAGTCAAGTGGGTAAAAATATTTCAAAATCTTTTTAACCAAAAATAGGCAGCGGCCTCTCAAAAGTTTGCATAAGTTAAACGAGAACAATATTTGTTTTAAAAGCTATCGCTCTAACGAAGCACATATATGAATTATATGTATGTAATATATATATACCCCTTAAAATATTATTACTTGCAAATCGGAACGGGCCTAAATCTAAAGTCCATAACTTTACCAAATTTAATCCGATTTCAAAGTATCATACCTCTTAAGATTTGTATTTTAATTCTCTAAAAAACTGCATTCAAAATTGTAATTTTAACGTTGATCAAAATTTTGACCCATTTTCATGTTAGTTATTACTAAGTTTTTGATGACTTGAAAAAAGTGGTCCCAAAATTGAACTTCTAGATTCCATAACTTTACCAAATTTAATCCGATTCCAAAATGGCATACCTCTTAAGATTTGTATTTTAATTCTCTAATAATCTGAATTCAAATCTAATCCCTGTTATTAAAGGTAAATTTTTCGTTTCACTTTATGCCCCCAAAAAAAAAAAAATACCAATATCAATAAACATGTGTCATTTAAATATCAAACTTTGAAAATCATTTATAAAATGACAAATTTTTGGAATGTTACGTAAGGATACTTGAAATATAAATTGGTTTTACATTTTTAGAAAAAACAGATTTCATATGGCTTTCTTACAACTACGGCTACAAATGTGGTTAATATTGTAAACTTATTTTATCATAAGAAACATGGCATAAATAACTAGAAAAATTACAACATATTCATTCGGTGTTCATTCGTCCATTTTCTGAATAATTTGTATCCATCTTTTATGCATCGCCACTCAGACTATTTTTGATTAAAAAATTTTAAAACTGTCTCATTTTCAGAATCAGTACTGGCATCCTCCTTCATGACAATGGGCAATTGAGAAGCACGATTTGATTCGGGCTGCTCCTCTTGAATACCCAGAACATCGAAAATGTCCTCGAAGAATGGCGTTTCCTCCAGGAGACCAACTTTACCCGGGACAGTAATGTCCCTCAGACGCATGCAGATCGCCTCGATGCTCCGCCAACTTTCCACATTGGTTTGGGAAGCCTCTGGACTCTGGATTTCCCGCATGGCGCACTCGCACAGGTTGTCCGTGTTCCAAACGGTCTTTGGAGCAGTATTAGTGGCCAGCTTTTCCTTTCCCTTAATATCCTTATTGACCAGAGTGTCCTTTCTTTCCAATTTCCGATTTAAGTTCCGCATGGGATTCCCATGGGAACCATCGTTGCTGAGGTCTATGTCCTCGCCCTCTATCAAGTTTTGAGGTTGTAAAATTAAAGGGAGCAGTTGCTGCACAGCTACTTCATTGTACTGGTTCTCATTTATAAGAAAGTCGTTGTTATTATTGGGGGCAGTCCACTGGTTCGAAAGTTTGAGCCACATAGGATTCTCATTTGTATTATCATTACTAGACGACGGCTGGCAATTAAATGACGAAGACAGATTTGAGAGAAACTTCGGCATCACTGTCTTCACAGCGATCTTATTATCCAGGTTCTGATGGAAAACAAAGTCCTCGGAGTGATGAGGGCTCTGCATCGTATCCTTAATCGGGTTATCCTTACTGGGCGGTAAGTTAATCCGAGTAAGCCGGGGTATCTGCTTTCCCTTAGTATCTTGTTTATCCTTGGACCCAGTTGGATCTGCATTTGGATATTTCCCAGTAGATTGGCGACTCTTTTTTGAAGACACATTTTTGCGAAGCTTCGTGGCAGTTTGCTTGTGTCTCTTTTTAATAGCTGCATTTGTTTGGCCAGGCAAACCCTCGTCATCGCTTGATATGATAATACAATCTGAGCGGTGTTTGTTCCACTTCGGAACCTCACTCGGAATATCCTTATTATCGCTATTCTGGGGAGGAACATTGTCGTTTGAGAGTATCCACGAGCTGTAGCGTAACTCGTCTTTTGAAGGATTCGGTAAGATCTTAAGCTTTGAAGTATCCTTGTTCTCCTTGTTTTGATTTTCCGTAGGAGACAGTAGTCGCTCATCCCACTCCGAAACATTATCCGAACTTTCCTTAATGCACAGCAGACGGCCGAATGGAGTACTCTTTGGAAAATCGGGTTCCTTTACAACCTTATTCACCTTACTAGCCGTGGAATCCTCTGATAAATTGCTAAGGCAATCATTGCAAACCAAGAGCTCCTTTGGCTCCTCATTCGGCTTTTTTTTACTGGTGCTGGGGAGCTGCGAAATGGGTGAAAGAGTCTCCAGGGTCATGAGATGTCCGGATCTGGATAATGATCCACCTTCTTCGGCGCTGATGCCCTGCATCTGGGGAACTATTTCGACCAACTTGCTCCTGGGCAAGTGTACCGAGCGTATGCTCCGCAGCCAATTCTTCTTGGGCTGGAAAATATTAACGCAAAATAAACAAACTTTATTTATGCAGTTTTTTCTTAGTTTTTTACCATTTCGCTTTTTCGTGCTGGAAATTCTAGGAACTTAATTCTCAGACATCAATTCTCAGAAGCAAAAAGCGCATGCGCGCATGTTGACCGGCAGCCGCGAAAGAAAGAATGATGGCCAAGATGGCGAAAATCACGACCGCAGAAGAACCAGAGTTGCCAAGGTCCAGTAACATCGTGCTTATAATTTTGATTAATATTATAAATACCATCATTTTGTCTGGCTTTTAAATTGGAGATAATGGCTAATATGATACTTAAATAATCAGTTGTACTTTTTAAAAATAACAAGATCGAGCTGCCAGTTTGATTTTAAAATGTGCTTTTAATGCTGCCAGATTGAGAAAAAAGGGCACATTTTCGTTTTTTTTTAGTATTTTTTACAAATTTACGAAAGAATCGATAAAACCTGCATTGAAACTCGATCTGGCTTTCAGTTTTTTGTTCCCGGAATCCAATAACAAACAAAAGAAATTGTAGTGCTTTTTACTTTATTAATTACATAAAATTTGATTCAAAAAGCTTATTAAGTCTTAACCTTTTATTAAACCCTTGCCTACATTTCTGTTTTTTTGCCTAATTAATGGCTTGATATCATTTCGAATTCATCTCATGAGTTACTATATCTTATACATCCTAGTACAATTTGTAGGGGTTTTATTGGCATTTTTATATATTGACAGCTAATAATTAATTAAGTAAAGTTCGATAAAAACTTTTCAAGCCTTTTTGATAATATTGCTAAAAAACTTGATTCAATTTACTCATGCCGGTTAAAAATAAGCATTCAAAATTAAAAAAATCATTTTCTCCCACATTTTGGTAATATTTATTTTTAATTATTTAATTAGTTTTTGTGGCTTTGTTTAATTATAATATAATTCATAATTATAATTTCCATTAATACTATTTTTGAATTGCTGTCTTAACTGTCTTCAAAGCAGATTTATAGCGCAACTTGGCCGATTTTTGGCTGCTGAGACTCTTGCTCCAGACCAAAAGGAATCCGGCAAAGTCTCAATACTTATTACAATATATGTTGGCTCATTCCCTCCCCAATCGGCAGTGGTTGGCCAGCTTTAACATCCCGCCGTCACTTTCAGCGGCTGTCAATGTTCTTGTCGCTATTGTTTCGGCCGGCGTGTAAAGCGCGGAAAGAAAATGTTATTTAATTACTCAAGCAAAAGGATGACAAGTGAAAATGTCGCCTGGGCGAGAGAGTCCTGCATTCAGGAGCCAGCAGCCAGAATCCAGGATCCAGGATCCAGAGTCAGACTCAGCAGGCCTGTCAGCTTGTCAGGAGCAGGCGCCATGGAAAAGCCGCCAAAGGCACATTGGTCACTCTTGTTGCTGCTGCTTTTGCCTTTGCATTTGCCTTTGCTCTCACTGTTGTTGCTCGCTTTTGTTTAAATTTAAATTCTATAAATAAATCTGCATGAGGGCACGAGGTTGGCGAATGGTATGTTTGCCATAAGCACGAGCAAGTGGATTGTGACTGCAGTTGGCATCGCTGTTGGCCACTAAACAAAAGCAGGCACTGTGTTGTCCCCATTTGCCAAACTCCATTCCACTGGCCGAATATCGCAGGACACTTATTTCTGGTGGCTGGAGGGTCCTGAGTCCTGGGAGCCCAGTTTTTGTTAGTCCGCTTGGGTCAGTTTAGTTGTTTCTATGGAAAAATGATGTTTATTTGTGGTACAATTAAACTTTGCTAATACTACAAGTTGCGGAAAATATAGGTATATTCCAACTAAAAAATGTTCAGGTAATATAAAGCTATTTTTAGTTTTGGTGCACTACAAATACTACTAATACTACAAATTTTTGAAAATAAAAAATTGTCATGTAATATAAAGCTATGTTTAGTTTTGGTACAATTAAACTTCTCTCTTAATACACATTTCTAAAAGTAAATGTAAACAATTCCTTCTGAAAAATTAGCAAATAAATAATCTTGGAGATAAAGACAAAATAATTGGATTAGCATGGCAAAGCCACTTAAAAAAGACCGTATTCATACTGTAAAATTCATCAAAAATACTCACAGATGTGAAGCATTTTCCCTTTGATATCCTTACATTGCCCAACATACTTTGAATTCTTAGTTATGGTCTGAGCACATCTGTCAGCTTGTCCATCTATTTCTTTGCCATGTGACAAAATTCTTTTGGCTTCCACTGGCTTCTGGCAGAGTTTTATTTCCTTCATGCCACAACAATTTGCTGTTCTTGCAACTGGAACCTAATGCATTCGATGCGACAGACTCGAACGCCTTGAGCACAATGTTAATCCGATGTAAGCTCGTGTCCAAAGTCCACAGATCTCCACGTCATGCTTCAATTGTTCCCGACATATTGTTCTCGGGACACAACCACCCATCCACCCACATAACCCGGAACCATCACATGTGCTCACCTTTGCCATCAAAAAGCAACCACAGGGGAAAACAGGACGAAAAAAAAAATAATCACAAGGATAACGGGGGGAAAACGAAAAAACGATGTAGGTTGGTTGGCTGGAAATAGTAGTAGAGATAGAAAAGCGAGCAAAAAAATCTCAGCTGCAAATGACTTGTGTGCCATTGAGATAAACCCAAAATTTATTTATTTTTGCCATAAACCCGAATGCAGTCAAGGCAAAAAGGACTTTTGGCCAGCCATTGTGATTGTGTGTGTGTGTCGGTGTGAGAGTGTGTGCGAGTGTGTGTGTGTGGCAGGCATTTGTTGTGCCTGTATTTGTATTTGAGCTTTCGACAGCAGCAACAAAAGCGATGACGATGGCAACTAACTACAAATCCGTAGGCAATTAATTTGGCTAGAAAGCCCAAAAATACAAAACAACCGCCCGCATATGTGTGTGTGTGTGTGTTTGTTTGCGGAAAATGGGCGAAAATATTAAAAGAGGGTTGTGGGAGGGGGCGATGAAGAGTGGAAATGGAAAAGCGCCGCCGTCAGCGTCAGTCAGTGGCAAAAAAACACGCAGAGAATCTGGCTAAGGAAAAAAGCAGTTTGAATGGAAATTCAATTGAGTGACATGAAAATGGAATTTTTCATATTTTTCCGCATGTTTTTGTTGCTCTCTGCTGAGATGAGAGAGCTTGTGTTTGGCTGCCAGGCACATCAGAAACACAGTTTGTTCTTCATGTTGCTGCTGTTGTTGCTGTTGCTGCTGCTGCTGCTGCTGCTGTTGCTGCTGCTGTTGCTGCTGCTGCGGCTAACAACAACTATGGCATAGGAAAACGCCTGGCAGCCAAACCAGCAACATCCTCGCACCCACACAGCTGAAAGAGTCCTGTCGGAGATTATTCCCGTCCCTGTCTCTGCGCTACCTCTCTCTCTCTTTCTCTCGCTTTCACAACAAAAAAACGTTTGCTTCTGACATTTTCATAATTAGGTATTCAAAATCTTTAATAACGGTTACTCTTGCTGGTTGTTGCTGCTGCTGTTGCTGTTGCTGAAAGCTGCCAGTTGCCACACAAATACGCATATTATCCTTATAGAGTTTTTGTCTCTTTGGGGCATACAAATGCTGTGGCAAAAGCTTTGTTGAAATACATGTTGCTGCTGTCGCTAGTTGCTGCTGCTAGTTGCTGCTGCTAGCTGTTGCTGCTGCTGTCATTGCTGCTATTTGCTGCTCCTGCTGCCATTTCTGCTTTTCATTTAAAACAAATTCATTATTTTAGAGCTCACTGATGAAGTCTTGTCAGGTCTAGATGCCGCAAATCAACCCAAATTATTGAGACTTTACCACAACTGTATAATTGCAGCTGTCATGATTTTAGTTGCGAGATGCTTTCCTCCTTTTTCCCCAAAGCCCTCTGCATTGTCCGCACTTCAGTTGCAGTCTACATTTTTACGCTCTTCACTTTGGTCGCCGGAAAAGAAAAGTCCTTTCTTGGCTTTTCATGTCCTGGACAGGACAGGCCCGCTGGCTCGTTGCCGCTGACGGCGACAATTTTAGCGCGTCTTTTGCCTCTGGACAGGACAACCGCTGAGCAACTGTCGTCCTGGGCCATCTTAATAAGCCGCCGCAGTGGGTGGCCGGTTTACAGGCACCCGAACAAGGCCATTACCATCCAAGGAGTGTTATCTGCCGGCACTCAGTTGCCGATTCCCATATCTGGCCACTCCCAGTCAGTAAACTCTGCCACCCCCCCGAAAAAGTGGCACAAACCCAGAGACACCCAAACAAACAGCTTCATTTTGACCTGCTGGCCTAGAGGACGCATCAAGTGGGTGGTAGTGGGTGGTAGTGGGTGGTAGTGGGTGTTAAGGGGGTGGGTTGGAGGGTTGACTCTGATTTTGTTTGCTGCTGAATTGGCGCTGAGCAAACAACTTCCTTATCGCTGCGATACACGCTGCCTTTTGCCAGATAAACACAAGTGACAAGTGACGCATGTGCAGCAGCAACAGCAACAGCAACAGCAGCAGCAGCAGCAGCAACAGCAACAGCAACAGCAACAGCAACAGCAACAGCAACAGCAACAGCAGCAGCAGCATCAGCAGTTACGGCAGCAACAACATGTCGTTCGATGTTTAAAATAAAAATTAATAATTCAATTATGCGTCAACAGCGTTCCGTTGTTTGTTTTCACCCCTCCTATGTTTTTCTTTTTTTTTGCGACTGGCCATTTGGAAGCGGACTTTTGGTCCGGTCTGGTCGCAGCTGTTGCCTGCCGATGTATGCCACTCCAAATTGCCGTGATTTCATTCAATTTGTCGCAGCTGCAGCAGCAACTGCAGCAACAGCAACAAATGTTGCCACTTGCCAGCCAGCGCGGCCCAAAATTGTTTTCGTTTGCTACGTTTCATGAGAATATTCTGCTCTTCTCTCTCGTTTCCATTCGCCAGTGCGAAATGCGCATAAAAAAATGCTGTGTCCAACGCCCACAAGGCGGCCAAAACCACCCGGACCAACCCAAAAAACCCCCACCCAATTCCAGCCCAATTCCAACCCAATCCCCCCAGAAATCCCAGACGAGGACGACGACGTCAGGCTGGTGTGCCAATGCACAATTGTTGTTTGTATGAGAAAATCTCGCCTAATGGCGTTTTACATTATTTGCCGCCTGATGCTGCTCTTCCGACGACGACGACGACGACGACGACTTCGCTGCCATGGCCAACTGCTACCAAGTGGCAGTAGTAAAAGAAGCGGCCTTCCACCCACAGCCCACCCATCGACCACCCCCTCCCCTTGGATTTCCCAGGCTCGGAGTGCCAAATATTCCCTCTCTGTCGCTCCACGTTCAAGTTTTGTGTGGGTTGCTTGGGTTTTCGGTTGTGGCAAGTTTTCCCCATGGAAAGTGGGGGGAAAGAGCGGGGCATTCTGCGGCTGCTGGACAAGATGAATGGCCACTTATTGGCCAAAAGCGGGTTTTGTTTAAATTGTGGTGGTCAATTTGTAGGAATGTATTGAAACGTCTTCGCAGGCGTAGATTGATGAAGCCACCAGATGGCGGGATGATATGCATGGCCGATGTGATAGATATGTCAATCGGTGGCTAATTACTATTGTGATGGTGCGGGAAATGGGAGTGACTGGATTTGGATACTATGTGGGAGTCCTTAGTGACGTATTTACTATTTGTAGTGGTGAGGAAATTCTAAGAAATGTTGGGTTAAGGTATACAAGGATTTCTTGATAAAATTGTCTTAAAGATGAGGTATATATATACAACTTATGAAGTGAGCCAGGATTATCTTATGTTATTTGTGGCCCATCAATTTATTAAATGAGATTTTAATCAAGTTTTGTTTTATTTCGTTTTTCTGAATTTAATTTGAAAATTTAAACAAAGTTATGTTTGTCATTATTATGATGTCAATACAAGTTTAAATGCTAATAATAATTGATATTTCAAGGACCCATGTTTAGTACTTAAATAGCTACCGAAAAATTCAAAAAACTGTTATCAGTATGTCATTATTATATTATTTCCCTTCAATACAAATATGTCTTACAAAACGACATCTTCTACGCAGCTGATTATCTTTTACATGTGTAGGACCCCTATAATTTGGTATAATCCCTGGGAAAACGCAGAAGATAGCAGACAAATGTGTTCTGTTACTCCACAAGTTTAATTGCTCTCGAGACTGATCTCTTAAACCCCTAGTTATCCGGCCATTTCCAATTGGAGATCCCGCATGGAATCGAACCGAACTAAATCGCTTCTAATTTGCTAGCTCATTTCGATGGCCTGAGCTTGAGTCCTCCCCGGGGGTGGACCAAAAACGGGGCGGGGGTGGACCAAAAAAACAGTCTGTGGGGTGGACTTGAGCATTTGACATGGTGTGAACACGCGCATAAGGTCCTTTTTGCAGAAGGGGGATTCCCCCGAGGCAGCACACTAAGTGTGACTGTGAGTGTGTGTGCACAATTGGTTGGCAATTTATTTAAATATCGGCTCACAGTTGGGAACGCAATGCCAACTGGAATGCCAAGGCAGTGAAATAAATGTGAAACAGCAACACGGCCAAAGAGAAACAGAGACGAGAAAGAAACAAGCTGCTGCCGAAAAGGAATTTTTCAGCTGCCGTTTGAAGGAAAGAAAAGGAAAGGAAGGGAAAGGAGGAGGAGGGTCGGCAGCAGCTGATGTTAATAGCCCAGCGGGTCTGGCAGTTGTTGTCGTTGTTGCCCTCGAGCGGACAGGGGAGCGGTCTGGTCGGAACAGCTGTTCCATCTGCAACGGCGCAGGCGCCTCGAGTCGAAGCCGTCGGATTGCCGACCTTCGACTGACGAACGGAATGCCGAGCGGAGCGGTCGAACATGTGCTACCTGGGCGCTACTACAACACTGCTCTCACAAACAAAACGAACTTTCGACTGGTCGGACGTCCCTCAGTTTGAATCGCATTCGCATTCGGACTCAACTTCCGCGTGTTCTCGTGCAACGCATCCAGCGCGCCATTCAAAATACGCGAACGAACCGAAAGATACTTTCGCATCCATTCAGTTTTAGATTGAGATTCAGATTCAGTCGCTTGGCATTGCTCCGAGATGCCGGTTCGCGTTTCGCGCTGCCGCCTGCTTTACAATGATTCGATGGTGAATAATGCACTCGCGATGTGTTAAATCAACGAAATATATATTCAATAGCAAATAAAACAGTCGGAAATTTTGAAGCAAAAACAAACTCCATCTACGTATCATCAGAATCTAAATACCACAGAGATCTGCCAAAATGGTGAGTCCATGCAAATTGTATCTCGACATGGGCCATGGCCAACACATGTTGATTGTGGCCAGCTGTCTGGTGCCACTCAAAGTGTCTTTGGCCTTATATACACATATATCGTAGAGATGTCTGCGATGGCTGGTAGCATCTGTTTTTTATATGCTCAAACTCAAACAAATTCGCCGGGCACAATTGCAGATACAAATTCGTTTGTCAAGTGCTCGAATAATAGTTTAAGACGGAATATACAGACACACAGGCGGTGGGAAATGGTTGTGGAAAATCTCGTTTGCTTTGTCAGTTTCACGTGCGAAATTATAAATTATTTGCCTTCTTTTTGCCGCTTTTATTTCACCCGGAACTCCCCTTCCCCTCCCCCGGAAGCAACATCCAGTGGGTTTTTGGTCCATGACTTTGGCCGCCGTCTGTTTCTGATGGCCTTGTGCGCCCGCGTTCCCAACAGAAACAGAACTTCCAACTGCAAATAATTGCAGCTGGCTGCCATGTGTCGCTGCCTCTGGTGTTTTGCTGCTATTTCCACCGTCTGTCGATTCCATCTGCCATCGTCGTATATCAGCAGTGGTCGCAGCACCACCGAACTTTGCCTCGCCAACAGCCTCCAACGGAATTGGGAAATCAGGAAAACCCTCGGCCAAAACAGACCAGGCCAGATGGGCCTTTTTCCAGCCCAAAACTTTATGGCCGATGGTAAACTTTTGAGTGCCGGCAGGGCTAATTGATTGCCCTATCAGCTTAATCAGTCCTTTGAGTGCTAAAGTCAGTTTACCAGTTATAGACTTTGAATTATAATATATTTAAATGTATTTATATACATCACATTAAATCAAAAATATTAAATGTTACCAAAATAATAACATTTTAATATTGATATAATATAAAATGTATGTAATATTCGGTTAACAGAAACAGAGGTTTCCTATATAGTTACAATAATAATTCTTGACCTGACATAAAATGATTGATCGATAATGATTCAGAAAATAATGACATGATGCGTTTTTATAGGATATTAAGTGCTCTGAATTTAAGTAATATAATCCATATGCAAATAGGAATGACAAAAATATTAAATATAATCACAAAGATCAAAGCTAAATGAGCTTAGCTAAAATTTTCTGAGATAAAAATGGGACAAGATAAAATTAAAATAAAAATAAATTATATTACCTGAGACTTAAACAAATTGATTATGAATTTGTCTATTATTAAAGTTGAAAAGGTAAAAACTATAAGCAATTTTACCTGAGATTAAAAGACTTATTGACGACTATTAGAGTCATTACACCTTAGTAGTCAATAAACCCACAATTATCAGCCACAGATCACTGCCTTTGCATCTTGATCATTAGTCAAATTACTCCCCATATTAAGGAGCTTATTGGCGATCCGAATTATGTGTGCTTTAGCTGCCAATACCACAATTATCGGCTAGGGATCGCTGGGTTCTGGGGATCTCTGGATGGCGACTTGTGACTCAGCCTGGAAATCACCTGGCCGATCTGGCCTTGGCTTGGCAGCTGTTGCAATTGATGATCAAATGTGGAAAGAACGAAACCCGGGATGGAAAGAGCGGGATGGAGAGAGCGGGATGCGAACAAGTGTGAGGCCAGCTGCCTTTTGGCCTTATTGTCTTTTTGGCCTTTTTGCCTGGCCGTTGTTATTGTTATTGTTATTGGCACTGCGGTTGCTATTCCATCTCGACCATCTCGCCGCCGTCCGTCTCCTTTTCTCAGCGCCGCTGTCATTGGCATGACACCTGCATAAACATTTTAACAGCTTGTAGGCTCAGGCGCGGTCTGTTTTGTGTTTTTCCATTTTTTTTCCGCTGCTCATTAAACAATACAGTGCCACCGCAAAAAAGGCGAAAACGTCGCAGGAGAGTGTGCCCTAATTTAGGGTTGGACTAATTGATACCCATGATCACTGTGACATTAAGGCCTAAACGCAGGGGATAATTCAATAATCTTTATGGGTGGCTATTTAAAAGGCAAAGGGGAGATATTAACCATAAAAGCTGCATTTACTATCTTGAAAAATATGTAACGATAGGCCTTTAACTTTGGTGATTCAAAATGGTTATTATTTTGGCAGCAAAAAATGTAGAATAAATATTAATAACTAGAAAAGAAAGTCTTGTTAAATACTTATTATACAAAATATAATTTAGCTGTTTTATTTGTTTAACAACATTGGTTTTGTTATTGATTTAAACGAGTTTCTTCTTTTATTTAGATCGTAACATTTTGATTATAGAATTGGACACTTCAAACTTTTTAATTTCTTTTACAGTTTTATTTAAACAATGTATTTAATATTTTGACATAAGTCTTTTTCCACCTAATCCCTCATAAAAGGTTATACTTTAATGTATTTAAGCCACCTAATCGCCAACATTTGGAACGCCTGCAACCAAACTAGACAGCTTAATTGAGTCTAGCAAATAGATCCGATATTTTAGTCGGGCCTGCAATCCAATTAGTGTCAGCAATTTAATTCTGTTTTGGCCGCTGGGCAACTCAGCTGGCCGGTTCTTGTCTAATCGGTAATCAGCGGGCAATCAGGCATTCAACAAAGTTCTATTAAATAATGCAATGCCTTTGGGGGCAGGAGACTCCACTCGGCGGCCAATTGCATATGGTGATTGAATTTAAAATGGACAGCGGCGAAAAAAGGGCAAAGTTATTAGCGTAATAGTCGGTGGGCAAACAAAACACACACACAGAGAAGCAGGTGAAAATGCACATGACAAGTGCAGCTGTTGGCATCAAATTAGTCCCCTTCTGGCCACATGTGCCGCGTTTTATCCCTGTTAGCCAAATACCGCCATGCCCGAGCCAGCGGCAATCCATCAAGGGCTCAATCAATCATTAGTCGTGCAAACTTCGGGCGAGGGAAAACCCAAAACAAACAGAAAAAACTTTGGATTTTCACACCTTTTGCAATTAAGATGCCGCCTAGACGACATTGACTAATGAGACGCCATTTTGTTTGCGGCCTGGCACAGCTGAGCCAACAGACAACATGGCGACCGGAAATAAGTCAATTTGCTTATTAGACTGACAGGGAATGAAAACAGAACAGAACCGAGCTGAAAACCCTGCTCAAAGCTCAAACGCAAACATTGCAAACCGAACGAACGAAATGGATGGTATTGTGGGGGCCAAAAAGAGAATGAAAAAAAAAACCAGAAAGAGAAAAAGAAAAGCCAAAAAATCGCGAAAATGTCACACACAGAACAGCAACTAACGGCTCCAATGGAAAAACGGGGCCTGGCTGCATACGCTTAATCGAAAAAGTCAAAAACAAAATTCGGTGTCGCTCTCGTCCTGTTTTCCCAGCTTTCCTACTCCTAGTTCTTCTGCTCGCCTGGCTGCCTCTTCCTCTTTTTCCTCGTTTTTCCGCTCCGCTATTGTGGCTTTTCCACTTCCAGCCAGCGAAATTGTTGGCGCTGCAAGTGGCAGCTTATTAAAAAGACGTGGGCCACAGCGAAGCACAGAATGTTTTGGGGGCAAGCAAAAATGTCATAGGAAAAGCCAGCTCACACAAGCGATTTTTTTTTGCGCAGAAACAATAGAGAAAATAATAAAGCGGTGTAGCCAGTGGCAGGAATATATTTATTTAGTAGGGGAAACTTTATTGAATAAGTTTTGATTCGGGTATATACTTTCCCCCCAAACATATACCCCTATTTTGGTAAATTCTTAGTTCTCATTCCAAGCTGTAAACTATTTTAATCCATTGACCTTTCGGTTTCCTCAACTCGTTATATTTTGGGATGTCACATGTTAAAAATCAGCTATTGAGGCACTGTTATTTAAATTTGGCATTTATTTAGGTAAGCTCGATATATTTTTGTTATAATATATAAATTTTTTAATATTTAGATTACTATAAGTGCTAACGGAGAAATAGAGTTAAAACTTATTAAGACCTTCAGTTTCACAGTTATGAATTTATTAATTTGTTTTAAATCTTATATTTGGAGTTATTTTGCTTATATTATAATAAATAAACATGTGCCAGGTTTTCGCTTTACTTTAAATTGAAAAGCATCATTTGTAAAAGATAATTTGTAACAAATACTGTAATACAATTTAAAAAGGTTCCTTATGTACTTATGTTGTATTAATAATTAAAGATTTCCTTGTGCTTCACAATTGTTATTGTTATTAAATCTGGTGAACTTCCATGGCACCTTCCCTTCCCCCAAATAACCCTAACCTAACTGCAAACACTTTTCCGTGTCGCAATATATTTCAATGTCTTAACCATTAACCTTAGTCCACCCACAAAACAGCACCCATCCGTAGTGGCAGCTGCACTCCTTGCCCCAAAGTCCTCTTATGTTTTAAACATTTTGCCGGGACGGGACAAAAAACTGTGTCCACGAGTGCCGCATGTCCAGTACAATCGCAGAATCGCAGACGCCATTCGCTGGCAAGCTACCAAAATGTCCGAGGTCCGCCCCTCACCCCTCACCCCCCTCCCCGCCCCAGCCGGCATTTGAATTGGATTTGCCAGGCGGTACAATATATAGCTGCTCAGCCCTAAATCTCCAGCCTCAAACTTGGCTGACCTTGTCCCGCACACACAGTCTCCTGCGCTCTTAAACAAGAAGGAAAGGGGCGTTGGATAAAAACGACAAACGAAGCAGCTGGCACAGCTGGCGCAATATTTCTTGCGCCAGATGAAACGCAGATGATGCCGCAGGAAAAGCAGCAGCAACAGCAACACAGTCCGCCAAGTGGCAGCAAGAGCAGCAGCAGCACTCCCTCCTTGTAAGTTGTCAGGACACAGTTGTTTGAGCTGCCGCCTCGAGTGTCTGCAACAGATTTGTGCCAAAAAAATAGAATAGAGGAGAAGGAGGAGGAGGAATTGCTGCTGCTGCAGGGGCATGTGTTGCTCGTTCGAACGAGAGCAACATTCATCGATTTGGGCACTTGCCCGGCAGCTCAGAGTGTAGAGCCCAGCCATGATATAACCTGCTA